AGGGATGGGAAATAGATGAATCTCAGAAGAAAGCTGTGCCCCTCCCTTCACCGCTATGTCGATGGTGATGTATGCCATGGCTGCTGTTGCTAGCACTGACGCATTGTCCTCGGCCCATTCTGTTGATTCCACCTGAAAAGGGAGCTGGGAATGCGAGGGATAGGAAAGACACGCGTCTGAAATGGAAGGAACCCATTGCTGCCGTTGCCAGCACTGGCGCATTGATGGGGATGGGGGAAGACAAAGAAAGAGTGAGGGAAATAACACACTTTCACTCTCATCCCACCCTTATATTGACACGCCTACACTGTCAGTGCAAACCTTATATAGAGGCACCCCTCTACAATCAACTCCGTCAGTGACACGGTGACACCCCTATACCTGTGACAATGTCACCCCCATACTGTCACTTACCCCCATACTGCCACTGTGTCATCACTATACTGTCACCACCCCCAGTGTCACACTCACGCATCTGTTCTCCTCATTATCCTTTTCACTCCTCTCCATACACCGTCAGCCCTAGCCTGCCACCCCTATACTGTCACAGTATTACCACAGTGTCACCCCCCTCAGTGACACCCCTCTACTGTCACACTCACACATCCGTACTCCTCAGCATCCCAGCTGGCAAACACCAGCGAGCGGCGCGGCGACCAACCATGTGCTGCCATGTGGCCAAACGCATGTGCCACCTGCCAAAAATGGGATTGAGGGTTAGCGAAGATACGGGGGAAAACGAAAAATCAGTTCATTGGCGGATACGGTACTTTGGTGGAGGGAGAAGATGGTAAGTTGGGCCTGAAACAAAGACGTTTTGAACGACCAGTTAGCATGGCACGTTCAGCTGAATAAGATGGTATGACAAGACAAGGAACGGGATGCATGGCGAGCAGTGCAACGGAGAGGAAATATATGTAGTTGACTCTTGAGTCGAGCCAAAAGTCAACATGGAAGCAATCTGAGCATGCAATGCAATGGACGGTCAGGCTATGGCACCTCGAGCAAGCACGTGGTGCCGCTGTTGGGATCCGCGGCACCAAACACCCACGCATCTCGATGGTTGCCCAAAATGATGTACCTGCCATGGTCATGGTGGTTGTGGTGGTGGTGGTGGTGGTGGTGGTGGGGAGGGAAAGGTATATTAATCTGCGACGAGGAAACGAGATGGCACTGAAATACGCCTGAGATGGGGACAGAATACATACATCACAATCTCAAAAGTGATACAAGAATAACTGAAATTCGGTTCTGGTCTGCAATGGTTGCAGCGGCACCCAACGATAAGACCTGATGGTGAATGTGGCAAAGCAGACATCAGGTCTTATCCACGCACGTGGCACATCATCATCCCACACCCACTGCTGCCCACACTTCACCTGTCGGTCTGGTGGGAGCCTGACAGCACGCCAATGACGTTGCGGATGGTGGTCACTGTGGTGTTCCTTTGCGGTATCAGCCATTTCTGCATTCCAAACTCACTCACCTGGCACACCAGACCACCCGCCATTCTCATTCACCTCTGCCCGGGGGTCACCTGTCGGGCTGGTGGGAGCCTGGCAGCACGCCAATGACGTTACGGATAGTGGTGACTGTGGCGTTCATCTGCTCTTGTGGCGAAGATGAAGAGGGAGGGGTATGGGGATGGGGATGGGGAGGGCAGGGGATGGGGCAGGCAGACGCATGCGGGTGTGGAGGATGTGAGGGTGGAGACGTGAGGATGTGAGAGTGGATAGATGGTGCCAAGCAAGGTGCATGACTCACCCACACTCACTGCGCGAAATGCACTGCGGATACAGTTCATTCTGCCACGCGTGCACGCGGGCGCGAGAGCACAGTTCACTCTCCCACTCCCCCACACCCTCTCACCTGCACCTCCATGTCAACGGCAGCAAGCCCGGGTCCAAACACGTACTGCACGCCTGGCATGCCGCCATGCCACGGGTGACGTGAATGCTTCACAGTACACACCCACCCACCCACCCACCCACCCACCCACTCACCTGCACCTGCAGGTCAACAGCAGCAGGTCCTGGCCCGAACACGTACTGCACGTCATCCATACCGCCACGCCACTCCTCCGGCACGGCGCTTCCCCCCATGTGCGCCATGATACCCCCGGCCACCGAATACCCCACTGGCAGCACCGGGATGTGCGGCAGGCGCTTTGCTGTTTCTTCATCGCTTAGCCTTTCCCCGCCGGGGTGGGACGGCCAACCAGGTGTGGCTGGGTCGCCTTTGCCTGTAGGAAAGGTAAGAAGGGAAGGACGGGTAGTGGGATAGGTGGGCAGAACATCACGTCACAGCATGTGCGTTCGTGTTCCCCCCCATGTGCGCCAAGATGCCCCCCGCAACTCTGGACCCCACCGGCAGCACCGGGATGTGCGGAAGGCGCTTTGCTGTTTTCTCATCGCTTAGCCAGGGTGGGACGGCCAGCCGGGCGTGGCTGGGTCGCCCTTGCCTGGAGGAGAGGGGAAGAACGGAAGGAGAGGAGATGGATGGGCAGCGCATCGCATCACAGCATGTGCCACGTGCGTGGATTCATCTCCAACCCCACAGCCCCGCCACGCAGTACCCCACCGGCAGCAACTCCGGGACGCGTGGAAGCTGCTCGTCTGTGTCTTTGTCGCTCAGCCTCTCCCCACCAGGGTGGGACGGCCAGCCGGACACAGCATAGTCCGCATGGCGCATGGTGGTGCATTTATAAAGACCATTTCATCATCCCATCATCATGGAATGGAAGTAAGTACCTGTGTAGACGGTGCCTCGCTGGGCGCCAGTGGCGGGCAGCCATTGCTGCTGCGGGTAAACATGCGCTTCGTCCGTGCCCTCTGGTGCATCGTCCGCTGGGTCGGAATACAACACCACTGCTGCCACGCCGAACCTCTCCGCATTCCGAACCTGACGGACAGGTTCGGTTCGGTACAAACGGATGAGCATTTGCGATACATAAGGAAATAAAAGAGTTCAGGAGTATGGATAGCTATCGGCGTACACTATAATAGAATGCACATGCTCACCTTATCCCCTCTAAAAGTCTTCCCATAACGAATCAGCGCCACTGTACCCTTCACCTGCTCCTCCCCAATCGCCGCCACTAGCGCCTCAAAATCCTCCTCGCGCCCGTAATTCACATACACCACCGCCGCTCCTTCCGCCTCTCCCGCTCCTTCCCCCTCCGCCTCCGCCTCTCCCGCCCACTTTCCGCTCACCCTCCCGCGGACCCCCCCGCCGACCCTCCCGCTGCCGGAATACGCGTTAAAAGGATCGGAGGCGGCGCGCGAGGCGCTATACGGGTCGCCGTCGACGGGCTGCTCGCGCAGCGAAAAGTTGCGCGCGACGGGGCGCACGAGGCGCAGCGACTGGCGCAGCGGGTAGGAGAGCAGCACGGGGTAGTCCGCGTAATGCGTGCGGAGGCCGTACGACTGCCGTGGGATGCGGCGGGGATGCGGGGAGGTGAGAGGGGAGGCGGGAGGGGACGTTAGGCTAATTAAATTGACTCAGAAGTCACCTCGGGGATAATCCGCGTAGTGCGCTAGCAGGCCGTACGACTGCCGTGGAATGCGGGAAGGTGAAGAGGCAGGTGGGAAGGGAGACGACAGAAGTTGATAGAATGTGAATCCTATGGTGATGCGAGCATGTGAAACGTGGAGACTGAATGAAAATCCTATTCATAAAGTCTCCCATCCGCACCTCGAATTTCTCCTTCACGTAACGGGCAGTTTCGAAGTTCTCGGGGGTGCCCGCGATGTGCGGCTTGACGGTGAGTTCCCGAAGGTGCAGCGCGATGCTCTCATTGGACACAAGCGAGAAGAGCTTCGGCAGAAACCCGGTGCTCAACGCGTCCTCATCGCGACCGTCCACCGCCGAACCGGCGTCGCGCGATTCGTACGCGAGGCGCGAGAAGAATAGGAAGGTGAATAATCCCAAGGTCAGCGCCAGCGGAACGTACGCGAAGGCAGTTCGTGGCCTCGACGTGGCCTGCGGCAGCAACGACGAGCGATCCATAACGGCGTGACTACGATGCACGCACGAGCAGCGATGAACGTTATGAAATGTGAAGAGAAGCGTGCAAATGGAAGAGGTGGGAAGAGGCAAGCAGCCTCCAAGACAAGGGAGCTTCGTGAATTTCCCAGCTAGCTATTTCTAGGATTTGGAGGATGGGGCGGTGGGGTGCTTTCAGCAGGCGAAGAATCTGGGTTGGTTTGCTCCTGCGAATAAGTGTTTGAAGTCAATCGTGCACAGAGGCATTTGCGGGTACAATCCATGGCTGCGAATCGGTAGTAACCGTGTTTCTTTTGACGTGCGATAAATTGATCTCCACGCATCTCGCAAAACTGGAGTGGTACATGCCGCGCTGGAGGATGAATTGCGGCGCGTTTCCCACGTGAGAGCCCACGTGGTTCACCCACGTGGGCATCTTCTGTCATGGTGAAGGTGCCGAGATGGGAAGCATAAGAACACTCTGATATATACATGCATATAGAATGGCCTTGTTATCCAGATCTCATTACCCAAATTTTGAAGCTCCATACCGTGTACGTCCTGAGGGCCTCACCAAAAGCGAGGTGACCACGATAGGCTGCTTCCTTGATTTGGAACCTCGACTCCACCATTTCTTCTCATTGTCCCGTCTCTCTCCATCATGTCACTTACAAACGGCCTAGAAACAGCGCCACCGCCGCCGTTCCTGAAATATGAGGTGCATTCACAGGAACTGCCAGACGGTCAAGGCACGGCGTTGCCTGCGCAAGAGCAGCTTACGCCTTTGCCGGCTCCCTGTACGCGATTAGAAGTAGACCTCTACCGCCTGTTACGATGCTGCGAGCGCATCGCACGGAGCCAATCAGCAGCCGAGCTGCAACGAGATTTCAAGTTCCACAACGTGAGATTTCTAGCCGTTGGGTTATTCCACAGCTCTGCCGTTCACGGATGTGTGCTCCTCAAGGCCCCTCATAAGTCTTTCGGTCAACGGTCACTGAGCGGCCGATCACACACAGATGCCTTTCAGGTCGCAGGCAATATGCCTTGATTGGGTACAATTTTGCCTCTCAACTGATGACCTAGCCTCCCTTACTTCTCTTCAAGCCTTTCGATTCCGTTCGTCAATCCCTATGCCAATCCCGCTCTCCATCAGTACGTCGCGTATCTTCGCGAGCTCTTCGCGCAAGTGCAGCAGGAGTCAACAACGGACTCAGCAGGTCGGCCTGCAAGGTACAGTACAGGAGTCAGCCAGAACAACAGCATTTCATTTTCTATCTTTTTTTCGTCTGAGTAGCTTCAATTCCTCGAATCGGCATTGCATACCACTTACTGCTTGGCCGTTTACAGTAGAGGCAGTCTATATTAGGATGTTCTGTGGTCCCTTCCTCCAGTTCTCCTACCCTCCTCCAGGGACCAGGGTCACGTCATCGTCATTCTGTTAAATTGTTGTGATTATACTCTGCAGATTACAGCATTTCTTACCATACAATGCTGTGCAATCCGGTTCCCTTGCTGATGCGTTCTGTCCCTTTCTGCAGCCTCCCTGTTTCAGCAGCAGCGCAAGCGCAGACAGCAAGGGCGGAGGCCTACCTTCAGCGAATTACCTTGCTGGCTGACTTGCTGGAGGAGCACGTGCTGGTAACTGAGTTACATGATGTGTATGTTTCATGTGAATCGGATGACTCATGAAGTTTTTATGAACCGTACAAATCGGTTTTTTTCCAGTGTTTTTTTAGACGGCGTAAAACCTGTATTTTCTGGATGATCATGTGCGGGCAGTTGACTCAGCTTTACTGTTCTGTCGTGCTTTGTCACTTGCTTTTCTAATTTCCATGTGATTCCTCTTCTTGCACCTCATCTCACAAACAACAGCCTGACATGTGGCACATGCCGGACAGCCTGCCTCTTCAGGACGTCTGCCAGCTGGACGCGCTGGTACCTCAAGATCGCAACTTGCCTGCAACCTTCAGAGGAATTAAGCCTGCTCAATCTCAACCGCAGCAGCAAGGAGAAACCAGTGGAGGTGCCTCACACGGTTGTGTGCCATTCTCTGCAGCTTTTGCGGGTCGGGAGGGCAGGGAGGCGTTGGGCCTTCGCTCACGCCACCGCCTGTTGAGAGATCGGCGTGGGTAGGTATCAGATGGTGGCCGTGATGTGATGCATGCATGTGTGGGTTGGTGGTGGCTGTGATGCCATGCATGAATGTGTTTATAGGTGGTGATTATGATGCCATGCGTACGTGTGTCTTTGATGCAGCACGTGAGCTGATTCTATTGCAGTTCTGTTGCCCGGTTATTTGGGCTGCTTGTTTTCGTCTTGAGATACCCCATATCGCTTTCCAGTGTCTTGTGTTGGCTGATTGCATGTCCAGACGTCTCACAACTTCATCCATTGCTTTGTGCGCTCCCTTTCTGCTCAACTCTGTAGCACGTGTTGTCTTTCCCATGCATGTATTTGTCTGGCCTGTCTGACAGGCCATCTTCCAAGAATCCGCAACCAGGTTCTTCTCTCTCTGGATCGACCCTGGACGACGCATCAAGAGCAATTATTTCGACCCATAAGTAATCCTCGTATTCTTTGTTGTAGCATCACTTGCTCCTCCTGCAAACTTGCTTGCATGTGCATTCCCCGCACCTGTTTGCCAGTCCCCCCCTCTTCCCCTCCGCCCTATTTACCCTCTTATACCCACCATTTGTGTGCTTTACTATCTCCCTCTTCCCACCCCTCACTCCCCGTTCCCCTCGCTCTCCCCTTCGTGTTTGCTTCCTTTACCCACTCTTCGCATCTCTCTCTCTCTCTCTCTCTCTCTCTCTCTCTCTCTCTCTCTCTCTCTCTCTCTCTCTCCCTCTCCGCTCTCCTCCTTTGGCCCCTCCAGGAATCTTCAGGAGGAGCTATCTGATCAGATGCTGACGCTGGCAGGGCAGATGAAGGCCAACTCGCTCGCCATGGAGGAGAAAGTCAAAAGCTCCAACAAGGTGACGCACTGCCTTCATGCCATCAAATACCTGCACGTGTTTGAATTGGACATTTCCTTGTGTTTTTGCTGCTATTATTGTAGCATTTATTGGATTTGCAGTTGCTTGTTGATTAATTTCATCTGTGTGTGCAGGCTCTTGATGCTACTGAGGAATCAATGGAGCGAAACGTGGCCAGCCTGAGTCGGGCGAACCAAAGAGCTTCACGGTTGGCCCGGCAGGGATTTTGCACTGGCTTATCAACGTGGCTGGCCATGATCTTTCTTCTTTTCATGTTTGTAGCAATGATTATGTTCATAAGAATGACTTGAATTCACATGTACATACTTCAGTAAGTTACCTGTAGAATTCTCGTTTTATTTTCCCAGCTTGAAGCATAGTCAAATGTCAACTCCATAACGAGTATGTCTGGTCGGATGGTGGGCGAAGGGGGTGGGCCTCCACAGCCTGGGTCCAGATATCGTTATAAACGGTTTATGCTGGTGTTTTACGGTGGAAAGCGGCAAAACACATAGACGTACATTCACCGTCGTGAACTGCACTGCTTGCCTTTCACCCACCCTCCTAAAAGTCGAGGCTCCTGCACCCGAGGCTCTCACGCATAGCGAGTGGGCGCCGCGTGGTGCTGGTCAGGAAGCATTTGCATTTCATCGACCAGCTATTTATCGAACAGCATCCCGCTTGACGTTCGACCATGGCAGGCGGCGTCGCGCATCCGTACTATCCGCGCGACATCGTGTTGCCCGACTACGTCCCGCCAGCGTGGAGCACGGCGGAGCTCTTCGGCGTTTTCGGGGTGGCCGTCGGGCTGATCTTCACGCTCTCATTTCTGTTCGCACGTGAGTCCACGTATCAGGCGCCTTAGTAGGTCGTGCCGATCCTCACCCTCGTTCGCACGTGAGTCCACGTATCAGGCGCCTTAGTAGGTCGTGCCGATCCTCACCCTCGTTCGCACGTGAGTCCACGTATCAGGCGCCTTAGTAGGTCGTGCCGATCCTCACCCTCGTTCGCACGTGAGTCCACGTATCAGGCGCCTTAGTAGGTCGTGCCGATCCTCACCCTCGTTCGCACGTGAGTCCACGTATCAGGCGCCTTAGTAGGTCGTGCCGATCCTCACCCTCGTTCGCACGTGAGTCCACGTATCAGGCACACCGTGTGTGATGTTAGCAGCAGGTGACGTTTCTCCCAAAGCAGGTGTTCGCGTCCATTCCAGCATTGTCTGTCTTGGAGTCAGCATCTACGCATTTCCGATCTAGCCTGATAAGTCCGGTCGTTCCAGCTTCCACCGTTCCTCATTCTTCGTCAACCCTCTTTTTCTCCCCCCTGTCTCCCATTCTCGCTAATCGGTGTTACAGCGGCTCATCTCTTCGCCTGCTTACCCGTGTTGGTAGCCTCTTCTTACGCTTTCCCCTCTCATTGTCCTCATCCCCACCCTCATCTCCCCCCCTCTCCTCTCCCCCCCCCTCCCCCCCCCCCCCCCCCTCCCCCCCCCCCCCCCCCCCCCCCCCCCCTCCCCAACCACTTTCCCTTTCCTCCAGGCTCATGTCGGCATCTATCAGCGTCGGAGCGCTTCACGTTCAGCTGGTGGGCCGTGACAGGCGCCATTCACATGCTCATGGAGGGAGCATTTGTCGCCTTCCCCGCCCTCATCAGCAGCACCAGCAAGGCCTTCCTCCTAGATGCCTGTACGCCTGTTTTTTCCCCATTTGCCCACTCTCCCATTGGCCCAATTCCTCAATTTGCCACATTAGCCTAGTCTCCCATTCGTACTAGTTCTCCCCCAGTCCGTTCCTGTGTCTTAACCCATTCTTAAACCCTTCCGTTTTTTTTAACCATTCTTCCATGCACTTTTAGATGATGTCCAAATAATCATTTTCGCCTCCTTTTGGCCCTGCTCTTCACTTCCATGCAGGGAAGGAGTATGCCATATCGGATTCACGATAAGCCATCGTCTCTCTCGAGGCAGTCACTGCCTTCATCGAAGGCCCTGCGTGCATCCTCATTCTGTGAGTCTGCTTTCCAATCCTTTTCTTTGAAGGCTTGAATGTTCTGGCTCTTGTTGCTGTCCTCCTTGCGCTCGTTGATACTTCATGTTTTTGTGTTCAATATTTCTGCATGCAGGCATGCCATGGCGGCCAGGAAGCCCTTCAGCAATTTGCTGCAGTTCACCGTGTCTCTCGGGCAGCTGTACGGAGCAGCTGTGTACTTTGCCACGAGCTACTTGGAAGGCTTTCCCCACTCAGACCCCCATCCTATTTATTTCTGGGGCTACTTCGTTGGCATGAATGCCATCTGGATTTTGGTTCCGTTTCTCATTCTCTGGCGCTGCTGGGCGCGCATCATTTCAGCGGAGGCCTCGATACAAGCTCCAAGTTCTAGGAGGTCCAAGAGGGACTGAAATGTAGCGAATCGCTTGTAGGTAGGGAGGGACTGAGGCATAGTGGGTGGGATGTATGGAGTCTAGCTGTGCTGATGTTGCATGCTCTCATACTGTAGGATAACCCTTGATGACAGATCTAATGAAACTAAAGGCTACCTTACAGTGAGTATATATTTCTTTGGTGCATCAATAAGATGTCTCGCATTTAACGGTGGTATTCTACCGTAACTTCCTAAAGGTATGATAATTGGTTGCGTGGGCTGCTGTCCGCGGGCCTGTCAGAAATGAAGTGGCATTCGAGGCTCTCTTTGCCACACGATATTCCACGCAGGAGATTCGAGGATTCATCTCGCCTCGCCACGTGCGAAAAAGACAATCTCCACGCACGCATCAGGCACAAGTTCTTCCTCTTCTTTCTGCCTCCCTCCTCCCTTCCTCCTCGCACACGGAAGGCAGACGGAGCGCACGCAGAATTCACGGTCGGTGCAGAGGTGCACCCGACACAGCACATCTCCGTGGCGTGAGAGAGAGGTTGGTATGGTATTGTATGGTATTGTCCACAAACTGCAAGGTATTGTTCACAGCTAGACTCCCTGAGACGCGCGGCCGAAGGTTTTGTTCGCTCAGGTTCCACACAGCTACAAATGCATCACGCTTGTCACGATTCTACAAATGCATGTCGCGTTCATATTGTCGAGAAAGTCGAGCCCGTTCGCCTCACCTTTCCTCGCTTTCTTGGGGAAGGGAAGAACGGAGGACGGTTTGTTTGCGAGTGAGGTTGGAAGGGCTGTTGCTGCCTCCAGCGGTCGTGCGCAGCGCATGGACGAACAACCTTCTCATTCTGGAATATGCTCACCACCACTCAATCACTCGAAGTCACTCACTCCGTTGCTTGGCTACGCCGTCTCGGCTCCAGAACGCGTCGATGACTACGCTGCTTGGCTACCGTAGCCAAGGTGACGCTAAACAGACCCCGGAGAGGCCGCGCTAAGCTCAGATAGACCGAGTCGTCTGGAGAGACTGACCGACTCCTCCTGCATCGCACGTGTTCTGATGTTATGACCTCTTGAAAAGGTTGTCAACGAGGAGCCGGGATCGCAGGAGGAGTAGACGCTGTTGCACATCAGGAGTTGCAGACATGGCTAATGAGTGCGGTTTCCGAGGCGATCCCGGAAACGAATCCGCAGATTCGATACGCAGCAGCAGCAGCGCCAGCGCTGGTCTCGAGGAGACGATTCTGTTGGCTGGCGACGCCCCTTCCTCCGCTCCTCTCGACCAATCGCAGACCAAGCTAAAAAATAAAAGAAGAAAAAACAAGCACACGCGAGAGCGCACAGGACGGCGCAAGTTCGCGCAGGCCCTTGGGAACTCCAATAAACAAAACGCGGCATGTTCAGTGTCCCGTTATGGAGCTTCCCGTCATAAGCACAATGCGCCGCTTCCGCGTCGAGTGATTCAGCTCGTTAACGCCCTCCAGGCCGCCCTCTCTCCAAGGCTTTCCTCGAAGCTTCCTCCAAAGGCGACGCTCTTCGCGCTCTACGTCTCTCATTTCCTCTCCAGATGGACCAATCGCATGTGGGAATTCGCCGTGCCGCTCTTTCTCCTGGACTCCTCTTACATTGCCACGTCAGCTTCCTCTTCCTACGATACAGTCACCTCCGGTAGTAGTAGTAGCAGCGCAGGATCCGCCTCGTTGCTGCTCGTGGCGCTTTACGGCCTCTCCGAGTCGCTCGCGATGTCTTTATTCTCCGTCCCCATAGGAACGTGGGTGGATCTCTGTCCGCGTTTGCCGCTAGCTGCCTTCGCGATCTCCGCTCAAAACGCCGCTCTGTTTCTCGCCGCAATCGCCGTCGCCGCTCTCCTTTACCTCGCCGACTATCTCGCCTCACCCGCCGCCGCGAGTCCAGCTGGGTCCGAGCTATTCGCGTGGGTGGCCGGAGCGGCCGAGACGGGAGCTGACGTGGCGCTGGTGGCCGCGGTTTGCGCGCTGGGCGCCGCGGCTGCTCTCGCCGAATTGGCGCGCGGGATCGCGGTGGAGCGTGATTGGGCCGTGGTGATTGCGGATTGGGTTTGCGAGCAGGAAGGTGCTTCGAAAAGAGGAAGCGGGCGGCAGGGGGAATGGGATGACAGGGGACAAGTCGAAGACGAGAGAGGGGGAGTAGTGGAGGTGGAGGTGGCTTTTAACGAATCAGCACGGCATGGGAAACAGGGGGGGAGAGAGGAGCGGGGGAGAGAGGAAGGGCAGAGAGAGCAGGTGCAGAGAGAGGAGAGGGGGGAACACCAATTGCAGACGCACGTTGGAGGCAAGAGTGGCTTCAGCAAAGCAGGGGAGCAAGAGGTGGTAGGTTCTAGTCACTGGGACAAGGCAGCGCATGCAGAGGAGGTTCTAGCTGGGCAGCAACAGGGGCAACAACAGGGGCAGCAGGAGGAGCAGCTGGAGGAACAGAAAGAGCAGGAGGAGCAGCAGGGGAGCGAGCACAGGGAGCGCGTGCGAGCGCGGCTCAACTCCACCCTGCGCACCATAGACCTGCTCTGCCGCCTGCTCGCCCCCGCCCTCACTGGCGCCCTCATGGCCGCCGCCTCCTCCTCCCCCTCTGCCTCTACCACTTCTCCCGCCGCATCCGTGCGCCCTGAGCTGCTGCCCGTGTCTCTGCCGCTCGCCATGGCTGTGTGGGTCCTGGCAGCCGCTGCTGCGGAGCTGCTGCTGCTGGCGCTCGTTCACTTGCAGGTGCCAGGGTTGGGGGGGAGGCGCAAGGAATGGGGAGGAGGGGAGGAGATGGGGGAGGGTGAAGGGGTTGGTGAGGAGGAAAGGGAAGGTGAGGGAGGGGAGGAGGAAGAAGAGGAGGACGAGGAAGCGGAGGAGGAAGAAGGTAGAGAGGGAGGGACGGGGCATGGAGGGGACGGTAGGAATGGAGTGGGGGATGTTACGAGTCGACTGAAGACACAAGTGGACGATGAGGAGCATGTGCAAAGAGATAAGCATGAGGCAGGAGATACGCAGATACTGGTCCCGTCAGCCGCTAATCCAATGCCACCTGCTTCTCTCACCCCGTCAGACTCCCCAGCCATCCCTAATATCACCACCATCACTGCCACCAGAAGCAGCAGCAGGAGCAGCAGCAGCGAGCCTCCACTCGTCCCCTCTGTGACCCAATCCTCCCCAAGCCCAGTCAACCCCTCCTCCATCAATGGCATTCTCTCCTCCCTCCACCACCTCCGCCTCCTCACCACCTCCTGGCTGACCACCCTTCGATCCGCCTGGACAATCTACCTCCGCCAGGCCTCCCTTCTCCCCTCGCTCGCCCTCGCCCTTCTCTACCTCACAGTCCTCTCATTCGGATCCCTCATGTGCGCCTACCTGCACTCCCAAGGCGTCCCTCTCGGTCTTCTAGGCTCGGCAAGCGGCGCCGCAGCTGTCACCGGCGTGCTCGGAGCAACCCTCTTCCCGAGCCTCTGCGCCAGGCTCGGGCCGAGCCGGACCGCCGAGGCCTCCGTGTGGTCCCAGCTGACGTGCCTCCTGCCGTGTGTCGTCGCGGGATTGGTTCTCCAGTCGTCAGGCCCGATACCAGCAGTGCTGCTGATGATAGGAGTGGTACTCTCTAGGGCTCCTCTATGGGTGTTTGACCTTTCAGTGCTGCAGATGGTGCAGGGGGCTGTGGTGGAGGAGGAGAGAGGTGCAGTGGGAGGAGTTCAGGAGTCGTTGCAGCAGGGAATGCAGCTGGTAGTGTTGGTGCTTGCAGCGGTGATTAGTAGACCGAGGGATTTCTGGGTGCTGACAACGGTGTCAGGAGGGGCTGTGACGCTGGCAGCGGTGCTGGTGAGTGTGGACCGGAGGGCGAGGGGACTCCTGAGTAGATTAGGGAGGGGTGTTTGGCAAAGGAAGGACACGAAGCTTCTGGAAGTTGATGACATGGTTCGGAGGGAAGCTGCTGCAGATGAGGTGTAAGGGTGTTGCTGCTGCTTTTGATGGGGTATTTATACAGCTACCTCCACTTGGGACGATAAGCTCCAGGAGTGCTGGTTAGGGCGTGTTCCTACGCCTCATATCAGACAACCTCATATCAGACTTGTCTGGTACAACTAGCGAGGGATTTCGGGTTTAGGGGAATTTTCAGTGGAGCCTGATATGAGGTTCGCTTGATACGAGGCGTAGGAACGCACCCTTAGTCTACAGGTAGTATGGTATTTGTGCGAGTGTACAAGGTGCGACATGGCAGTAGTGCGTGTGCGTGACTGATTCACAAGCACGGGCAGCTCATAACACCCCCGTATGTTGTGCAGGCCTTTTGCTGAAATGAACCATGTAATGACATTCAATCTGTCAGAAACAGCACAGGGTTGGATAATGTCAGCACACCCCTATCCAAGAACAGCATTTTGAATCCAACCCCTCCAGACACATCCTACAAGGGCATAGCGATCATGCAGTACCACCTTCACAAGCTTCAATAAAGTAACTGCATCAAGAATCACGGAAAAAGCTTACGCAGCCATGGAACAAAACACCACCTCTAACCCGCCCACCAAATCCGCAATGCACTCAGGCACACTCTTTCAAGCCGCCTGGACCCCGAGCAGCACCACCCTTCCTTGACCGCCTTTGGCACCTCCTCCGGATTTTGGGACGACTCAAATGCCGACTCTTTGCAGCCCTACCATCTCTGTAAGCCCCTCCGGCATGCTCTCAATCTGACTGCACCCAATCACCACCACTTGTTTTAACTGATCCAGCTTCGTAATCGACTCTGGCAAGCTCCTTAGGCTCCCGCACATCCCTAAGTTCAGGAATCGCAGGCTCTTCAGTGCACCTAGGTTTTCAGGAAGCTCTCTTAGAAGCTCGCAACCGATAATTACCAGGCGCGAGATGGACGGGAGAAGAGGGAGCGATGGTGGGAGGAGCGAGAGTGAGTCGCACCTGATGATTTCTAGAGAGGATAGGTGTTCCAGCTGGCCGAGTGCTGCTGGGAAAGATTGCAGGCTAGTGCAATGTGTGATTTTGAGGTGCTTTAGAGAGGGCAGCTGGCATAAAGATTCTGGAAGGGAGGTGATCCGCTCACAACAACTCAACTCCAGTTGTTCCAGAACGGAAAAGCGGGTAATTTTGGCTGGTAGTGCGGGCAGGCCACGGCAGCCAATGAGAAGGGAGGATATGGAAGGCAGGGTGAAGAGTGAGTCTGGTAGCGAGAGGAGGGCATCGCAGTCGTTCGATAGGCGAAGTGAAGTTAAGGAACGAAGGCTGCCCAGAGACTCGGGCAGGTGCTGCAAAGAACAGCTTTCGATGGTGAGGCAGGTGAGACTGCTAAGCTGCCCGGGACTGTCGGGCAGAGAACTAAGACTGGAGCTTTCCAGCCGAAGCACCTTTAAGGCGGTCAGGGAGCCGAAATCATCCGGCAGGCTGGTAAGGCAGGAAATGACAATCTCCAAGGATGTGAGTGCACGAAGTGTGACTATAGAGGGGGGGAGGGTAGTGACTTCAAAGCTGAGAGGATGTGAGTGCAGAGAGAGCGATCGCAACAGGCGGCAGTGGAGGAAAAGGGAGTTTAGACCCGCTGCCGTGATGCCCTGCCAGGAGCGATTGCCCTCCTCGAGGTAGAGAGAGCGGAGAGGGGAGGTGCGCGGCTGGGTGCGCTGCGGAGGGCGGGGGGACTGGCGGGACGAAGGAGGATCGGGGAGTTGGGAGCAGCGAAGGTGCTTCAGGAGGGAGTGAGGAGCGTGGTGCAGATGTGGCTGCAGGGCGTGCGGTTGTGCGGCGAATGACCTTTCCAGCGATGGTTGTTCTTTCCTGTGACGAGCTGATTCCGCCCACTGCACCACCAGTGCCGGCCACTCTATTATTGCCAGTGCTGTCCAGTCCTAAGCTCCGCCCAGCGCCAATGGCTCCGAATCGCTCTTCGTGACTCTCCTCCTCCTCCTCCTCCTCCTCCCCTTCCTCCTCCTTTGTCTCGTCCTCAATATATGGTGAAAATCTGCTCTCCTCGCGATTGTCACACGCGTTACAAGAACCTTCAGCCAGACTTGTCAGGAATTTGTCGTCTAAGGAGTCGACTCCGTTTTGGTCGATATGGAGGTGGGTGAGGCGGGGAAAGCGGGAGAGGGCGAGGAGGAGGCGCGTAGAGGAGACGGCTTGAAAATGCTTCAAGTGGACTGATGACTGCGCGAGGCACGCCGCGCGATACCATCTCTTACACACCAAGGCGTGATCAAAGGACCTGCCTGATGGCGCCACGTGGCGCAAGATGACGGCGAGGATCTCTTGCGGAAGCCGATCGAACGGAGGTGTCTTAGGGTTCAAGCGATCTGACGGTACTGGGCCGTGCACAGAAACTACGTCCATGACCTAGCCTCGAGAATTGAATGGCTGTTTTCGAAGGCAGGACATTGATAGAGTTTGTGTTGTTGATTGATTTACGTCACTTGTGAAAGAGTTCAACAGCGGCTGCAACGGTCACCGCGATGCGAACTGTGTGGTGGGAGAAAAAACGCTATTGGCGGGAACGAATTTCGTTGGAAGGGAAATGGCATGCTGTGCAGCAGTTGACTCATGCAACGAGTTTTCGCTGTACGCTCGCAGTCGGTGTTACAGAGACAACATGCAAATTCGTTAGCATAGCATTGTAGTGCATTTTATTCCATGGGATGGGAAGCTGATTCACAAACAGCGGTATGGTATGGAAATTTTGTACACACAAGGGAACTCCATAGCAAGCCCCCAATGAAGCAAACCTTTCAATCAAAAACCCATCAGATGATACCCCTTATATCTAACCTAATTACTACTGGGTCACATTGCCCTGCCCTTATTTACAGCACTCCTTGAAGTTCCAACCCTTCAGCTCACACAACACAACCCAAGAGCATCGCTCTCTTCCAGTACCACCACACATGTTACTCAAAAGCCATCTCAAACCATCTCTTGACGCATGAACGCAACTCCCTGAGCACCACCTCTTCAAACTGCACAAGGTCCGCATGCAGAGTTTTCAAGTCTCAGCTCTAAGGTGGTATGGTATCCTAAAAACACAAGAAATTGATGCTTTTCACACGAGCATCGCATTCCCTAAACAGCACCTCTTGCACACTCGGCATTTCCGCAATCCCCTCAGGCACACTAACAAGCCTCCTGCACCCGAGCACCACCACTCTCTCCAACTGACCCAACTCCATGATCGAATCTGGCAGGCTCCTTAGGCTCTTGCACAGCCCCAGCTCCAGCACCCTTAGACTGCTCAGCTCGCCCAGGTTCCCCGGAAGCTCTCTCAAATGGGAGCACCCGACAATCACGAGGCGGGAGAGGGATGGGAGGAGAGGGAGCGATGGGGGGAGGAGGAAGAGTGAGTCGCAATTGTGGATTTCCAGGGTGGTAAGATGCTTCAGCCGACCAAGAGTTGCTGGTAGCGACTTTAGACACGGGCAGGCTGAGATTTCGAGGTGTTTCAGGGCGGGCAGCTCAGAAAGAGATTCTGGAAGGGAGGTGAGGCCCTCACAAGAATTCAGCTCCAAATGTTCCAAAGCTGACAGCTGGGAGATTTTGTCTAGTAGTGTGGAGAGGGCCCAGCAGCCAATGAGAAGGGTGGAAAGGGAAGGCAGGGTGAAGAGGGATTCGGGCAGGGAGAGGAGCGAATCACAGTCGTTCAATTGGAGCACAGAAAGGTTTTCCAGGTGCCCAAAAAGCTCGGGCAGACTTGTCACAGGCATTTTTTCCAGGACGAAATGTTTCAAGGAAGAAAGCTGGCCGATGGATTCGGGCAAGGAGTCAAAATCAAGGGATGATAGGCGAAGCGAGGTTAAGGAACGAAGGCTGCCCAGAGACTCGGGCAGGTGCCGAAAAGAACAGCTTTCGATGTCCAGGCAGGTGAGGCTGCTAAGCTGCCCGATCCAATCAGGCAGGTTCCGGGCAGACAAGCACCGGAGAGTGAGCTCTTCCAGTAATTCCAGCTGCCCGAGGCTCTCGGGCAGAGAGCTAAGACTAGGGCTTTCCAGCCTAAGAACCCTCAAGGCAGTCAGGGAGCCGAAATCATCCGGCAGGCTGCCTAGGTAGGGCATGGCAATATCTAGGGATGTGAGTGCAGGCAGTGTGACTATAGAGGGCGGGAGGGCGGTGATTGCACGGCTGCAGTGGAGAGAAAGGGAGCGTAAGAGGCGGCAGTGGAGGAAAAGGGAGTCCAGGCCTGCTGCTGAGATGCGCGGAGGGGAGCGAGGGTCCTCCGCGAGAAAGAGAGCGCGGAGAGGGGAGGTGCGCGGAAGAGTATGCGGAGGAGGGAGCGCGGATGCGAGAGCAGGTTGTGCTGCTGTGCGGGTGCTGGCGATGCTCGTTTTTTCTAGTGACGACCTGATGCCGTGTGGTATATCATCACTGCAGGCCACTGTATCACCAGTGCCGCCCAGTCCACCGCCAGTGCCATCCAATAAACCGCCATTGCCGCCCACTCTTGTACTGCCAGTGCCGTTCCAACCTAATCTCTGCCCAGCGCCAATGGCTCCCCATCCCTCTTCGTGAATTTCCTCCTCTTCCTCCGTTTCCTCCGCCTCGTCCTCTTTGTCACACCCGTTACAAGCACCTTTAGCGAGAATTGTTAGGAATCCGTCGTCTAAGAAATCGACTCCGTCTCGATCGATATGGAGGTTGGTGAGGCGGGGAAAGCGGGAGAGCGCGAGGAGGAGGCGCGGCGAGGAGATGGCTCGAGATTTCGCCACGTGGACTGATGACTGCGCGAGGCACGCGGCGCGATGCCATCGCTTGCACACCAAGGCGTGCTGAAAGGACGTGCCAGATGGTGCCACGTGGCGCAAGATGACGGCGAGGATCTCTTGCGGAAGCAGATCGAACGGATTTGACTCAGTGGCCAAGAGATCCGATGGTGTTGGGACGTCCATAAGACAACGTTCACGATCTTCCCTCAACTCGAAGGAACGGACAATTGATTTCCGAAGGTGTGCGCAAAAAAATCGAAATGCGGTCGGTGTTGGGCTTCATTCGTTGAGGCTCTAGAATTTCCGAAAGCAACGCGACGTCAACGGTGGGCGGGTGGTGAGCACCTCGGATCGGAGGAAGTTCGGATGGCAAAACCCTGGCCCCAACGAGTTTCGAACTCGTGACCTTTTGCGTGCAAAGCAAACGTGATGACCACTACACCATGGGACCACAATTTACAGGAGGCATAAAAATGTTTTTAACATATTACAAAATCTTCATAGTCACGCCTGCCATTGGTTTAGGGCGGATAGGACTAATTACCGTGTACAGCGGCCGTCGCTGTTTGACCTTGTAGCTCATGCACAAACCGCTTGCTCTAGCAGGACCATGCCATCCACGTCAGCACACCACGTCACCACCGCGTCCCCGCGTGACAGGTCTCTCGGTTTGGATGTCGTTACCCAGGTGCCACCTGTAAAGGAGGTTAACGCGGCAGTCGGTACAATTGACGGCGCAGAAAATTGTACGAACCAGGAAAACGCTGGTGTCTATAACGAGTTTCTTTCTAGCGTTGAGAAGAGAATTAACAATGGCGCCGGCGATTTTCAGAACATCGCGACCGTTGATGGTGAGGAGTCGGGTCAAATCAACAATAGCGATTCTCGCGGCGTGAGAAACGAGGAGGAGAGGGAGGAGGGTGGGAGGGAGGGCAGTGGAACGGTCGGCCGTGAAAGAGGAAGTACGGATGTAGGGGGGTCTGCCCGTGTTCCTGGAGGATCACCGCACTGTGTGATTACAGGGTTACCCGACGGTGTCAATACAGGGTTACCCGACGGTTTTACTGTAGGGTTACCCGACGGTGGTGACATGGAGTTACTTAGCGGTGTTAATGCAGGGTTAAGCGATGCTGTTGAGGTAGGTGGTGGTAGTACGGTGTTACCAGACGGTGCTAATTTAGGGTTACACGACAGTGTCGGGATAGGGTTACCTGCCGGTGATTCTGCGATGGCTGGCGTCATGGGTGCAGATGTCGGTGCTGCTGCAGGGGAAGCGAGAATTGAGAGAGAGCGTACGGGTGAGAGTGAGAGTGAGAGGGGGATTGAGAGCGGAAGTGGGAGTGAAAGCGAGAGTGAGAGTGACGAGGAGGGAGATGAGGATTCACCGCACATGCATGAGAAAGGTGTGGGCTCGGCGCATAGTGAGAGCGTTACAGCAAGGGAGATGGATGGTGGAGGCACGGCGATGGATGGAGGCGTGGACTTGGATGGAGGCGTGGACTTGGAGGGCTCCCTGGGTACGAATGGCGATAAGGAGGCTCAGTGGACGCACTCAGCCGTTGCTGAAACGCCTGCTGCCGCTGCTGCTGATGCTTCTGCTGCTGCACCTGCTGATGCTGCTGCTCCTGCTGCTTCTGATGCTGCCACTGCTGCTTCTCCCACGATCCCTGGCGCCAACTCCAACGCCTCCCCCCCTGCCACCACCACCGCCACTGCCAACGCCACTGGTGCTGGAGATGCAGCAGCGGGGGCTGACGGTGGTGCAGCAGTAGGGGATGGTGGTGGTGCAGCAGTAGGGGTTGAGGGTCCTTCAAAGTCGACTGAAAATGCAACAGCAGGTGCTGGTGGGGCTTTGGAGTCGACTGAAAAGGCAGAAGGTGCTACTGGTGATGGTGGGGCAGGCGTGGCTGGCGGGAGTGCAATTGCAGAGGCGCAAGAGGCAAGTGCAGAGGCGCAAGAGGATGAGATGGACGTGGTGTGGTTGAGTGATGATGAGATTGACGAGAGTAGTGATGGCAGTGAGAAGGAGTACGCAGAGCAGCAGCTGCAGCCCCTTCTGTGGCAACAGCAGCAGCAGAAGCAGCAGCAGCAGGGGCAGTTGGGCAGTGGCAGAAGCAGTGGGAACAGCCTATGGAGCAACACTGAGAGGGGTGCTGGTAGCAGCAGCAGGAGGGCTGCTGGTGGTGGTGCCAGTAACGGGGTGCGCAGTAACGAGGATGAGGACGTGGTGGAGCTGAGTGGGCGGGAGGTAGAGGAGGCCATGGTGCAGGCCAGGCTCAGAACCGCGCAGAGGCAGATGATGCGCTCCATGGGGGGCGGCATGCCGGGCGGTAGCACGTTGGGCGGCAGCACGTTGGTTGGCAGCACGTTGGGCGGCATGCCGGGTGGCGTACTGGGCGGCACGGTGGGTGGCAGAGTGGGCGGCACGGTTGGAAACATGGCACAGGGATTGGGGAATGGCGTGGGGATAGGTACAGGATTGGGAATAGGCGGCGCTGGTGATGGGAGGAGGGAGGGCAGGGAGGGGAGGGGTGCGGCTGAAGGGGTAGGGAGAGAGGGGAGTGAGGGGAGTGAGAGTAGTGTGGTGAGTGTTATCAGTATGGCTAGTGATGATGAGGATGATAAGGTGGGTGATGAGGTGAGGCAGCAGTGGCAGCAGCTGGGGCAGCTGAAGGCTGTTCTTGCGTCACCGCCGAGGCAGAGGGGTCAGCAGGACGAAGGTGAGAGAAGCAGAGCCCGGGCGAGCGTTGGACAGCAGCAGCGTAATCAGCTGCAGGGTAACCAGCAGCAGCAGCAGCAGCAGCAGCAGCAGCAGCAGCAGCAGCAGCAGCAGAGTAACCAGCAGCAACAGCAGCTGCAGCAAGGGGTTTTGCTGGGGCAGCGGCAGCAGCAGGAGGCAAGGCAACAGCTGCTGCTGGAGCAGGAGGTGAGAGACAGGTTTGGAGAGCGTGTGTTGCTCCGAGACCAAGGGGACGATGAGGAGGAGGAGGAAGAGGACGGAGAGGGGAGAGAGGGGGGAGGCGGTGGGAGTGGGAGGAGGAGAGGGAGGGAAAGTGCAGGCGGGAATGCGCGGCAGTGGTTTGGGGTTGGGATGGGTGGGAGAGGGGTGGATAGGGAGGAGGAGAGGCGAGAGTTTGTGGAGGCGAGGAGGAGGAGTGCGGCTGACGCTTTGAGGCACTTCAGGAGCATGCGGGAGGAGGGGCTCGTGCAACGGTTGCCTGAAGTGCAACGATTGCCACAGGCTGAGCGGAGTCAGCATGTGGCACGGCAAGCACACATGCCACGTACAGCAGTCACAGCACCCGCAGCACCCGCAGCACCTGCAGCACACGCAGCACTCACAGAAGGAAGGGCCTATAGCATAGACCCATACACAACATTACACATAGAACCCGATCTGGGTCCGTTCATTACAGTGGGGAGTTTACCGGAGGTTGGATTGCCACCGCTACCACAGTTTAGGCCGCTGCCGGCAAGCATTCGAGGAGGCACGGGGAGCAGTGGTGGTGGTGGTGGTGGTGGTGGTGGGGCGCATGGACACAGGCAGGGAAGAAGAGCAAGCTGCCAAGAGGATACGAGTGGATGCTGGAACCGCACACAACCATGTTCCTCCGAGTCACACCCATCCGCATCCCACCCACCACCACAGCCACCACCACCACCATCACCACCACCACCCGCACCTGTATCCCCAAGCACCCTCTCCAACCCCTTTCAACCCGCCTCCAGACCAGCAAACGGCAATGCGCCAAATCCTCGAAGGCCTCTCCCTCTCAGGGACAGCAGAGGAGGTGGAAATGCCGGCAGGGGCTTTAAGGGTGCCGCTGCTGGCGCACCAACGAATGGCAGTGGCGTGGATGAGGCGCAGAGAGGCGTCCATCCCTGCTGGGGGGATACTGGCTGATGATCAAGGGCTGGGGAAGACACTGACGACGATTGCACTCATTGTGCTGGGAGTGTGGGAGGGCAGGGAGAGGGAGAGAAAGGAGAGGGAGAAGGGGAAGGGGGTTGTTAAGGAGGAGGGGAATATGCTGCTGTTGACGGGTGGTGCGGGTACAGGTGAGGCTGGTTCGTCTGGTGCTGGTTCTTCTGGTGCTGGCGCTGGTGCTAGTGGTGTTGGTGCAAGTGGTGCTGCTGCTGGTGTTGCTGCTGCGGTGCCTGCTGCAGCAGCAGCAGCAGGAGGAGGAGGAATGGGAGTGGGGTGCAGCAAGACGGAAGTGGTAGATTTGGATGAGGAGGAGGAGGGGGAGAGGGCACGGGGGAGACAGGGCAGGAAAAAACAACGTCTAGCGGCTCCTATACCGCCAGTGGCAGTGACGGCAACGCCACCTGGCGTTTCAGCTTCTGCCACCTCAGCAGCTGCCACATCAGCGACTGCCGCGTCAGCAGCTGCCACGTCAGCAGCAGGCGGTACAGGTGGCGGCAAGGGCAAGCGTGTGAGCGGCGGCACTCTAGTGGTGTGCCCCACGAGCATCCTGCGGCAGTGGGAGCGGGAGATCCGGGAGCGCGTGGGTGACGTGGGGTATGCTGGCCCTGCTGCTGGCACTGCTGCTGGCACTGCTGCTGGCACTGCTGGTGCTGCTGGTGGTGGTGGGGGAGGCGAGGGGTTGACGAGCGGGAGAGAAGGCATAGGAGGAGATGGGAGAGCAGGAACAAAAGGGGGAGGAGGAGGAGCGGGGAGAAGAGGGTTATCAGTGCTGGTGTATCACGGGCCTGGGCGCACGCGCAGTGCAGCAGAGGTGGCATCGTATGATGTGGTGCTTACCACGTATGCCATCGCTGCCATGGACATGGGGACAGGGAGGGGGAGTGAGGGGGGCGAGGGAGGAAAAGGCAAAGGGAAAGAGCCTTCGTGGGAGGAGGTGATGGGGATTGGTGGGAGTGGTGGGGGCGGGGTGGGGGGGAAGAGGAAGGCAGGTGGTGGTGAGGGGGGGAGTGGGGGGAGTGTGGGGGGTCCGCTAGCAGGGGTGGCGTGGCTGCGAGTGGTGCTGGATGAGGCACAGGCCATCAAGAACCGCAACACTCAGGTGAGCGGTTTTGTTTGACGTCTCTGAACAGAAATTTGCGGTGGTGCCTGTCCGGTACACCCATGCAGAACGCAGTGGACGATACGTATTCCTACCTGCGCTTCTTGTGCTTCTCCCCTTACATCCCCTTCTCCCCTTTCTCCAGGTAGCGAGGGCGTGCTGGGCTTTAAGGGCCAAGAAGCGGTGGTGCCTGTCAGGCACGCCCATGCAGAACGCCGTGGACGACGTGTATTCCTACCTGCGCTTCCTGCGCTTCTCCCCGTACATCCCCTTCGTCCCCCCTCTTCCAGGTAGCGAGAGCATGCTGGGCTTTAAGGAGCCAAGGAGCGGTGGTGTCTGTCAGGCACGCCCATGCAGAACGCCATAGATGACGTGTATTCCTACCTGCGCTTCCTCCGCTTCTTCTGCTTCCTGGTTGACCTTCCCCCCACCCGCCCCCAGGTAGCGAGGGCGTGCTGGGCTTTAAGGGCCAAGAAGCGGTGGTGCCTGTCAGGCACGCCCATGCAGAACGCCGTGGACGACGTGTATTCCTACCTGCGCTTCCTGCGCTTCTCCCCTTACGACGAGTACGCATCCTTCCGCAACACCATCAAAGACCCCATCACTCGAAACCCCACCCAGGGCTTCAAGAGGCTGCAAGCGGTCCTGCTTGCAGTCATGCTGCGCCGTACAAAAGGTGAGTACTGGTTGTATGTCTGCCTGATTCCAGGTGGTTGGTTGGGTGGTTGGTTGTGCTGCATCACTCGAGTACGCGTCCTTCCGCAACACCATCAAGGACCCCATCACGTGCAACCCCACCCAGGGGTTTAAACGCCTTCAAGCAGTGCTGCTGGCTGTCATGCTGCGTCGTACGAAAGGTGAGTGCTGGTTGTATGTCTGACTGACTCTAGGTAGTTGGTTGGGTGGTTGTTTGGGTGGTTGGTTGTGCTGCATCACACGAGTACGCATCCTTCCGCAACACCATCAAGGACCCCATCACGCGCAACCCCACCCAGGGCTTCAAGCGGTTGCAAGCAGTCCTGCTGGCTGTCATGCTGCGACGTACCAAGGGTGAGTGCTTGTTGGTTGTTTTGTTTAACTAGTTGTTTGTTTGTGTCGCATCTCACAAGTGCATCACACCAATACACATCCGTCGGTGGTTCCATTGATAATGGGGTCGCTTTTTTGAATTCTCACAAATGGCCATCAACGAACCCATCCCATCACCCGCACTGCAACCGTCACTCAGCTCTTTTGAGGCGCCTCAAAAGTCGTCACTCAGCTCGCCGCCCTCTGGCCCTCTGCTCTCTCCACCCCACCCACCAGCCACGCGCATCAAGGGAGCACCCATAGTGAACCTCCCCCCGCGCATAGTGGCGCTGCAGAGAGCAGAGTTCACACCAGAAGAAAGGGCCTTCTACCTCTCCCTCGAGGCCTCCTCCAAGCGCCAGTTCCACGTGAGTGAAGGCACGTCTGTTTTAAAGAGTAGACTCTGTGTGCATGTGTGAGTTTACTCTACAGAGTTCACATCCACACCAGCGGAGAGGCCCTTTTACCTTTTTCTTGAGGCCTCCTCTCGGTGCTAGTTCCACGCGAGTCCGGCTTTACATTGCACCGCGCCGCTCCTCCCGGCTCCTATCCTACATTGTAGAGTAGCGTAGCAGGGATGGTACAGAGCAACTACATCCATATCCCCGCGCCACTGCTTCCTGCCCTTACCACGTTCATTCTTCCATCGTTCCTTCCACCTCACCCCCCATCTGCTCGATCCTATCAGGACTATGCGGCAGCGGGCACGGTACAGAACAACTACATGCACATCCTCACCATGCTGCTGCTGTGCTGTGCCTCATTCGCACCTTTCTCCCTCTCCTCGTCCCTCGTTCTCCTTTTGCCCTCACCAGGACTACGCGGCAGCGGGCACGGTCCAGAACAACTACATGCACATTCTCACCATGCTGCTGCGCCTGCGCTCATGCCCTCTCTCCTCTCCCCTCTTTCTCCCCTTGGCCGCACCAGGACTACGCGGCAGCGGGCACGGTACAGAACAACTACATGCACATCCTCACCATGCTGCTGCGCCTGCGCCAGGCCTGCAACCACCCCGCCCTCGCCAAGGGCGCCCCCATCGCGCCAGACAGCCGAACCAGAGGCAATGGAGCAGGAGGAGCAGGAGCAGGAGGAGCAGGAGGAGCAGCAGCAGCACGGGGGAGAAACGGGGTTGGCGGAGGGGGAAGTGGTGGGGCGGGTGGGCGGCGGAGTGTGTTTGCGGGGTCGGTGGGGCGGCTAGCAGCAGGGAAACGCGCCGAGCTAGTGCGGCATGTGGCGCAGGTGGGGGGGGAGGCGGTGTGTGAGCTGTGTGGGGATGCAGCAGAGGTGCCGGTGCTGTCTGTGTGCCTGCACACCTTCTGCGAGCAATGTGCGCTGCAGCATCTTGCTCAGTGTGATGCCCCCGGCTGCCCCTGCTGCGGCAAACCCCTCTCGCCTGCGTCGCTCTGTTTGTTTTCGGAGCTGGAAGGTGGAGGGAGTGGTGGGACGGGTGCGGGAGGGGTGGTGATTGGTGGTGCTGGGGGTGGGATGGGAATGGGAGCAGCGGCAGGCGCGTTAGCAACAACTTCACTGGCAGAAGGGAGGGGAGGGCAGCAGCAGCAGCAGCAGTGGCAGCAGCAGCAGCAGCAGCAGCAGCAGGAAGAGGAGAAGGAGCAGGATCCGCTGTTCTTCTCCCCCTCTCGCATGTCCACCAAGGCTCGTGCCGTGCTCAACTACCTCCTCGCGCTCCCTCTCATGCCCGCTCTTCCCCCTCCTTCTTCCGCTGGCCCTGCTGCTGCTGCTGCTGCTGCTGCTGCTGCTGCTGCCCTCCCTCTCATGCTCCCTGCCCCCCCTCCATCGTCTGCTGCTCCTCCTGCTGCTGCTACTCTTCCCACCTACTCAATTCCCTCTTCTATCCCATCCTCCTTTCCCTCTTCCCATCCCTCCTCCTTCCCTCCATCGCATCCCACCATGCACCCACCCAGTGCACGTGCTGTCTCTGGCCCTGTTCCTGCAAGTACCCCTCTCCCCTCCAATTGTTTCATTTCGACTCCCCCACCTCCACCTCCCACCTCCAATTCATTCACTCCCATTCATCGACCTCCACCTCCCTCCTCCACAACTCCCGCTTCCACTCCTCCCACCTCTCTTCCCTCCTCTACCCCTCCCTCTGTGGAGGAAGAGGTGAGAGGTGGGGCAGTGGGAGGGGGTGCAGGGGACACTGTAACGAGACATGACGTGGGTTCAGTGGTGGTTGCAGGTGGGAATTCTGGTGGGGTTGCAGGTGGGAATTCTGGTGGGGTTGCAGGTGGGGTTGTGGGCCTGGGAGGGGTGAGGGGTGGGGCAGTGGGAGTGGGTGCAGAGGACAGTGTAACGAGACATGATGTGGGTGCAGCAGCTGCAGGTGGGAATTCTGGTTGGGGTGGGGGCCCGGGAGGGGTGAAGCAGGAAGCATGCGATGGGGGAGGTGATGGGGGATTGTTGCAGCAGGGAGAAGGGAAGAGTGAGCAACCGCAGCCGCAGCAGCAGCAGCAGCAACAGCAGCAACAACAGCAACTGCTGCAGCAGCAACAGCAGCAACAACAGCAGCAGCAGCAAGAGCCAGAGGAAGCGCAGTGGATGGTGGGGTTGTGGGCAGAGATTGCTGCGAGTGCTGTGCTGGAGGAGGGAGATGTGGGGCCGACAGGGGCAGGTGGGGCACCTGGGGAGGGAGCACCTGGGGAAGGGGCACCTGGGGAGGGAGCACCTGGGGAAGGGGCACCTGGGGAAGGGGCACCTGGGGAGGGAGCACCTGGGGAAGGGGCACCTGGGGAAGGGGCAACAGGTGGGTGGGCACCTGACCTACCACCTGCGCGTGTGACAGGAGGTGCAGTGAAAGCAGAAGCGGTTGAGAGTGGTGGAGATGGGGATGCAGGGGTGTTTGGTCTATCAGGTGGGCGGGCACCTGACCTACTAGTATTACCACCTGGTCCACCACCTGATGCACCTGACGTCCCGGATGTAAAACCTGCTGTCCTTGCTTTAGCTTCTGCTGCACCTGGCTCTACACCTGACATGCCTGATATAAAACCTGCAGCATCTGCTTTAGCATCTACCTTAGCCTCTGCTGCACCTGGCTCTACACCTGACGTGCCTGCTGTTAAGCCTGCAATTGCTTCAGCATCCGCCGCTGCACCTGGTTCTGCACCTGCTGCAGCATCTGTTGCACCTGACTCTACACCTGCTGCAGCATCTGTTGCACCTGGCTCTACACCTGCTGCAGCAGGCCATGCCACATTCAAGAGGGAAGAGCAAGGGGAGCAAGGGGCGGGGGGTGCAAGAGCTGCCCTGATGAGGGCTGCGGGGGTTGACGCCGCTGCGGGGGCTGACGCCGCTGGGGGGGTTGACGCCGCTGGGGGGGTAGTGAAGGCGGAGAAGCTGGAGGCACAGGAGGGGGTGGGGGTGGGGGTGGGGGTGGGGGTGGGGGTGGGGGTGGAGGTGGGGGTGGAGGTGGGGGTGGGGTTGAGTGAGGAAAACACAGCCAGGCTGGTTGGGCTGATGGGAAAGGCAGGCCACGCAGGCCAGGCGGGGCAGATTGGGCAGGTGGGAGAGGTGGCAGAGGGGGGGTCGTGGCAAGCAGGTGGGATGGCAAAGGGGTGCGAGGAGGGTTCAGTGGAAGGTGGTGATGGGAGTGGAGGTGGAGCAAGAGGGGTGTGTGGCAGTCCGCGTCGGTTCCAGATCTCAGCAGCTGCACTCGCATCAGCCTTACGGCATGTGGCACAGCCATTGCCGCCTTCAGTATCCCCTGTCCACCCTGCTGCCCCAGCACCCCATGCACCCTCTGCTGCCCCAGCACCCCATGCACCCTCTGCTGCCCCTGCACCCCATGCACCCTCTGCTGCCCCTGCACCCCATGCACCCTCTGCTGCCCCTGCACCCCATGCACCCTCTGCTGCCCCTGCATCTGTTGTTCTCCATGCATCTCCTTCGCCCCATCCTCCGCCTTCCCTTCCTACTTCATCCACACACCTTCCACCCCTCGCTCCCCCTCCACCCACCTGTCTCCCCCGCCCTGCTCCTCCTCCACCTGCCCCTGTGCTGGCTACTCCCGTGGGAAGCACAGCAGGCAGGGCGGCAGAGGGGCAAGCAAGGCCAAGCACAGAACACCGTGAGCTGGCACTAGTGCCCGTGGCACAGGAAAAAGCATCAGCAATTGCAGGGGAGGGGGTGGTGGTTCGAGATCTAGCACTGGTAAATACTCTCTCGGAGGAGAGGGGAAAGGCGATAGTGAGTGCTGGCTCTTCCTCTCAGGTAATGGTGAGGGAGAAGGTGATAGTGTTCTCGCAGTGGACGCGCATGCTGGACCTGCTCGAGCTGCACCTCGCTGCTGCTGCCATCTCATATGTGCGCCTCGACGGCACCATGTCCGTGGCTGCGAGAGACAGGGCCATTGCTGCTTTCACTTCTGACCCACAGGTCAGTGCTGGTGCAAGGGTTGTTGCTGCTGATTTTGCGTGCTCCTCGATGGCACCATGTCCGTTGCCGCTAGAGACAGGGCCATCGCTGCTTTCACCTCTGACCCACAGGTCAGTGCAGGTTCAAGGGCTGTTGATGGTAATCCATCCCACATTTGCCAAGTTGATAGGTGGCGGTAGATCCAAAGTTGACTTTTGAGTCGACTCACAAGTCATAGGTGGCGGTAGATCCAAAGTTGCTGCACCTGGCTGCTGCCGCCATCCCCCATTGACCCCATCTGACCCCTCCTAACCACCTCGGTTTTGGCACCTGGGCCATGTTTGCTTTGTACTGTACTGGTTACGACCATAATAAAAACTTGAAACTTAAAAACTTCAAACCCATCTGACCTCTCCTTGTCACACCATCTGACCCCTCCTTGTCACACCATCTGACCCCTCCTTGTCACACCATCAGATCACAGTGATCCTGGTGTCCCTGAAAGCAGCCAGCCTGGGTCTGAACCTGATAGCAGCGAACCACGTGGTCCTCATGGACCTCTGGTGGAACCCCGCAGTGGAGGACCAGGCCATCGACCCCATCCCTTCATCCCATTTGACCCCTCCCTTCACCCCATCAGATTACAGTCATCCTTGTCTCATTGAAAGCAGCCAGTCTGGGTCTGAACCTGATAGCAGCGAACCATGTGATTCTCATGGACCTCTGGTGGAACCCCGCCGTGGAGGACCAGGCCATCGACCGCGCGCACCGCATCGGCCAGACCCGCCCCGTGCGCGTTGCTCGCTTCACCGTGGCTGATACCATTGAGGACCGCATCCTGGAGCTGCAGGTGGGTGGGGGAGGGTTTGAGGGGGGGATGAATCCTGGAGCTGCAGGTGGGTGTGGGGGCTGGTTGGGATGAGGCATCGGCCAGACTCGCCCCGTGCGCGAGGCACGCTTCACCGTGGCTGATACCATTGAGGACCGCATCCTGGAGCTGCAGGTGGGTCAGGTCTGGGGAGGATGGGTGGGAGAGGGTGGATTTGCATTTTGGAGCTGCAGGTGGGTCAGGAGGTTGGTTGGGATGAGGCATCGGCCAGACTCGCCCCGTGCGCGAGGCACGCTTCACTGTGGCTGATACCATGGAGGACCGCATATTGGAGCTGCAGGTGGGTTGGTTGGGTGGTGATGGTGGCAGTGCTGTTTCTCTCAACTGCTGCTGTCACATGCGTTTTCAGTTGCTCCAGAACAATCACGCTATTCTCATGCTAAACTCATCTGTCCCCCAACCCAAAATGATTGTAATAATTCCATGGGCTCACTGCCACATGAACAGGAGCGCAAGCGCACGATGATCGAGAGTGCATATGGCGAGTCAGCCACAGCAATCAACCGTTCCCGCCTCACTACAGAGGACCTCCGCTTCCTCTTCCAAGTGTGACGCACGGTACGGCGCATGGATGGCATGGATGGAGTCAATGGCTGCCTGATGGCCCGATAGGCATGCAACAGGTCACAGGTGCTACTCGCACTGTACGGATAGGTATTTGGTGCTACTGTCACCGAAGCTCCAGTTGCTCTGGTGGTACTCTTGCACATCTCCAATAGAGGTTTGGTAGTGGCTTGTTTTGCTGTACAGGGACTGTTGTTCTGTGTGCGTGCCTTGTACACCGACAGCAGTGTACTGTACATCAGTTGTTGTCACTGATAGATAATGACAGTGCGACTTCTATGTCCTTTTCTTTAGAGGTTGGCTTGTTCAAGTTTTCTACAACAATATACCAGTTTGGCTCAACAATGGAACTGTACATGCGATAATGCTGGTTTGAACATGGTTCAGTCTCCACAAAACCTCAGACGAAGGAGGGCAGGAAAAGCAGTTGCAGCACCTGCAGGGACCAGTGTGAAGTGATACTAGTTGCTCGGAGAAACTGGTGAAAGCACCGAAAACTGGAGCGGCTAGCTACTCGAAGGGATGCAACTCTAAGGAAACGGGTCTCTAGAGACGTAGTCGAGGGGCGTTGGGCAGGGAGACAGAAGCAGAGCAGCTAGCAGAGCAGAGTGTCGCGGGTGTCGTTGCCAGTGACAGGATTGGTGCTGCTCGGTAGGTGGAGGGGGGCACAAGAGGCACGGAAGGGAGGGTGGGGGAAGTGGGGAGGTAGGAGCAGGGGGACAGAGGGGATTCATGAGCGGGTGTCGTTGCCAGTGACAGGATTGGTGCTGCTCGGTAGGTGGAGGGGTAAGGTGGGGTTATGGTGAAAGGGGTCGAGTCAAGGGAACTTACAGGGAGGGAAGCTGTGGAAGAGTTCACAAGGGAATTCACAAGTGGGAATTCACAAGTGGAAGAAAGGGCAAGAAATGTGGTGGAAGCAACGAGGGAGGGAAGTGATGGAAGTATCGGAAAATTGCAGAAGTAGTCAAAACAGGGGGTTCCTGTGGGAGTGACCGTCCCCAAAATTCCACGGCATGGGAGCATGGTGGACACACACGTACACCACACGCTCACCCCTCAGCCGCTCTGCAGCGGCACGCCTTCTGATCTGCAGCATGCAACTGCAGCACCCCTCAAGAAATATGGCTCCCCCTACCTGCTGCTGCATTGGCGTTGTAGAGTTTTCTTGAGAATTCTCAAAAATACCCTACCTGCTGCTGAGGGGAGCAACTGCAACACCCCTCAAGAACTACCTGCTGCTGCATTGGCCTCCCAACCTGACTCACCCCTCAGCAGCTCTGCACAGGTATGCCTTTTGGTCCGCTCGGAAATACACGTCTGTGAAATCTGCAGGGGCGATGGGCACGGGGGATGGGCACAGAAATGGGCACAGACGCAGGGAGAGGGACGGGAACAGGGCGGGGATAGGGATGGGCACGGGGATGGGCACGGGCATTGGCATGGATGCGGGGACGGGGACGGGGACGGGAATGGGTATGGGGATGGAGGATGGATACGGGGATGGAGTGATGAGTGAACCACATTCCCCACACGCACATGCACCCAACACACACCACATGCACAAACACAATCACGTATCTGTTGTCGAAAACAACTCCAAAACTCATAGATAGGAGAGCTAGCGACATCAAGGGTAGAATTGTTGAGGGGGATATTGCTTTTGAGATGCCTCAAAAACAACTTACTATCACGTGGTATAGTGAAGTACGTGAGTGAGGGAGAGGCAGAGAGCGGGAAGGCTTTTGAGCCGAACCGTATCAAACCAAGCCTTATGAAACCACACCACAGCGACCCGTGGGAGCCGGCAGCCAAATCCGTTCATGAACCATAGCATCACTTATCGCTCGCGGACATGCCTCATCCTTCCCTCCCACGCTATTCCAGCCCGCGACTAGTGGACTCCGCACCAGCAGGGCGACTGCACTCCATTTCTTCGGAGAATGCACTAGCTGGGAAACAGGCAGTGGTTGCTGTTTGTAGGTTAGGGTCAAGTATTTCTTGAAATGTTTCAAGAAATACAACTTACTATCACGTGGTATAGTGAAGTAGGTGAGTGAGGGAGAGGCAGAGAGCGGGAAGGCTTTTGAGCCGAACCGTATCAAACCAAGCCTTATGAAACCACACCACAGCGACCCGTGGGAGCCGGCAGCCAAATCCGTTCATGAACCATAGCATCACTTATCGCTCGCGGACATGCCTCATCCTTCCCTCCCACGCTATTCCAGCCCGCAACTAGTGGACTCCGCACCAGCAGGGCGACTGCACTCCATTTCTTCGGAGAATGCACTAGCTGGGAAACAGGCAGTGGTTGCTGTTTGTAGGTTAGGGTCAAGTATTTCTTGAAATGTTTCAAGAAATACAACTTACTATCACGTGGTATAGTGAAGTAGGTGAGGGAGAGGCAGAGAGCGGGAAGGCTTTTGAGTCGACTCAAAAGTCAGCTCTCAAATACAACTTACTATCACGTGGTATAGTGAAGTAGGTGATGGAGAGGCAGAGAGCGGGAGAGCGAGGGCGCGGGTGGGAGTGCAGCACTGACCAGCGCCGGTGAGAATGGCGGCCTTGAAAGGTAGCGTTGCGGGTGAAGGGCGAGTGAGAGAGAGGCAGCAAGAGAAGGAGTGTGTATGGGAGTGAGTGCTGGAGGGAGGGAGAGGAGAAGGAGGGAGGGAGAGGAGAAGGAGGGAGGGAGAGGAGAAGGAGGGAGGGAGAGGAGAAGGAGGGAGGGAGAGGAGAAGGAGGGAGGGAGAGGAGAAGGAGGGAGGGAGAGGAGAAGGAGGGTGGGAGGGAGTGGAGCACTGACCAGCGCCGGTGATGATAGCGCCTTTGAAGGACGTGTTGCCAGTGAATGAAATGCCCTCCAGAATGGCGTTCGTAAAGTTGGCCTGATGTAGCCGAGGGGGAGGGGGAGCGGGAGCGGGAGGGGGTGGGGGGAGGAGGGGGGTGGTGCAGTTGTGTAAGTCTATAAGAGGCAAACAGAAGGACGTGTAGCCAGTGAATGAGATGCCGTCCTGAATGGCGTTGGTGAAGGTGGCCCGATGCAGGGGAGGGATGGGGTTGTGTGGGATGGGGGTGAGCGGGTTGCAGCGAGTCGAGATGCCCTTCAGAAGTGCGTTGGCGAAGCTGGCCTGATGCAGAGGAGGTGAGTGCGGGTGGAGAGCAGCAGAGCAAGTGGGCAAGCGGTTAGTGGCAAGTGGGCAAGCGTTAGTGGCAAGTGGGCAAGCGGTTAGTGGCAAGTGGACAAGCGGTTAGTGGCAAGTGGGCAAGCGGGCAAGGTAGGCAGGGAAGGCAAGGAGGGCACGGAGGGCAGGGACGACAAGTGGGAAAGGGTTTGTTTATGAGGCGCCTCGAAAACAGGCGTGGGAGAAGACAGGTAGTAGGGAGAGGGAGAGGAGGGGGGGGGGGGGGGGGGGGGGGGGGGGGGGGGGGGGGGGGGGGGGGGGGGGGGGGGGGGGGGGAAGAGAGCAAGAAGGGAGTCGAGCAAGAGAAGGTTATCAAGGAAAACAAAAAAACAGCAGGATGACGCCCCTGGTGTTTACGCAAGGGCATCAGTAGTCAAGTAGTCAAGATGGGACGGGTGTAATGCCCCCTTGGTGCCGCCCAGCGCACCTTGTTTGCGCTGGGTGCTTTTGAGTGCATACCTTGTTTGCACTGCTTTTGAGTGCACACCTTGTTTGCACTGCTTTTGAGTGCACACCTTGTTTGCACTGCTTTTGAGTGCACACCTTGTTTGCACTGCTTTTGAGCCCACACCCTGTTTGCGCAGGGTGCTTTTGACTGCGCACCTTGTTTGCGCTAGTGAGCGAGAAGTCAGCACCAGTGAGATTGGCACCCGTGAAGTCCGCTCCTGATGGGTGTGGGGGAAGAGAGACGGGGAGCACAGAGACGGATGGCGTGAAGTCCCCTCAAGAAGTGCACAGCGGGATGAGCTGGTGGGGAGGGTTCGAAGGTTGGCGAGCAAAGCAAGGTTGATGGAGGAGATCTCGAGAGGGAAAGGAGGAGAAGTGGAGAGGGGGTAAAGGGGAGATAGAGGGGAAGATGGAGGGCACGATGCCTTCGCCACTTCGAAGGTGCTATCTGTCCAACGGTGAAAGCGTTCAGCAATGGGATGGGAGGGTGAGTGTTTGTTTACCTGCGAAGGTTCTTTTGCGCAATTTCTTTTGCGCATTCACTCTTTTGCTCATTTGCTCATTTGCTCATTTGCGCATCTCCTCATTTGCGTGAAATCATTTGCGCAGGTTCATGTGCGCAGAGGTAGGGGTGTTACCTCGGTTGCTAGGTGTGAAATGGCATATGCAAGGGTAGAGGGAGGTGGAAATGATTCTCGGTGGGGTCCTTCCTTGCGGGAAAGGTGCCATCTGTGCGGTGGCATTGGCAAGGGTAGAGGGAGGTGGCACCTGTGAGGCGGCAGGAGGTGGTACCTGTGAGGCGGCAGGAGGTGGTACCTGTGAGGCGGCAGGAGGTGGTACCTGTGAGGCGGCAGGAGGTGGCACCTGTGAGGCGGCAGGAGGTGGTACCTGTGAGGCGGCAGGAGGTGGTACCTGTGAGGCGGCAGGAGGTGGTACCTGTGAGGCGGCAGGAGGTGGTACCTGTGAGGTCGGCGTCGAAGAAAGAAGCCCCTACGAGATTCGCCCCGGCGAAATTCGCCTGGCGGAGAATGGACTGTAGGAGGCCGGGAGGTGGGGGGTGCAGAGTGGTGGAGGGAGGTGGAGGGAGGTGGAGACGGGGGGATGAATGGGATGGAGGCAGGTCGAGAAGGGTAATAAGGGGAGAAGGGGACAACGAAGCGTTAAGAGGAGTGGGGGAGGGAAAGGGAGGTGGGAGGTCACAAAATGGGACGGTTGGTCGACAAGAGAAGGCGAGACTGTAAGAGGGACAGCAGCACGAGTTGGCTGGGAGCTGGGCGAGTGAGGCCACGCCCAGACCCAGAGAACCGTGAGAGAGACAGATCAATCGACGGCTTCTCTCATTCAGTCTAAACAGGAATCCCAACCGCATTCCTTCTCTCTCGGCGCACGTCAACGCGAGTCAACGCAAGTCAACGGAGCGGTTTCCAGGTCAAACCAACCCACCGTTTTGAAGTCCTGCCCGCGCAGGTCCAGCCCGCTGTAGTCCCGCCCCGTCAGGTCCTGGCCACGTGTCACCTCGCGCCCATACGGACCTCCTCCCTGAGACGCACGTGTAGACAAGGACGGACGGGGAAGGATGTGTTTAACTTTTGAAACAACTCAAAAGCCATCTCGTCAGGTCCTGCCCTCGTGTCACCTCGCGACCGTACGGACCTCCTCCCTGGGATGCACGGACAGACAGGGACGGCGGAGCGGAGGATGTGTTGAAAGGAAGGGCGGATACAGGGGCATAATCGTGATGCAGGTACGTTTCTTCATGGTGTGCAGGTAACACCTCATACGCGTTCCACGTACGATGTATGCCAATGCAGCGTCAGGCACAAAAGGGCCCCCCCGCAGCCGCTGCCGCGCGCTGCTGACGCCATCATTCACACTACCCTCTCGCTCGCTAAACCTCTCTTCATTTCATCTGCCGCCCAGACACGTACGATGTATGCCAATGCCGAGTCGGGCACAAATGGGCCCGCCACAGCCGCGGGTTGTCACTTCTCGCAATGGTCCTCTCGTTCGCTCATCCCCCTTGCCTCCAAGACCCGACCCCCTCACTCGCATCCCACGTACGATGTATGCCAATGCGGCGTCGGGCACAAAAGGGCCCGCCACAGCAGCTGCCGCCGCCAGCGCTACCGCCGCCGCCGCGTGCTGCTGCCGCCATTGCTCCCCCCACGAGGCGCCGTCCTGCTCGTGACCGCCCTCGGTACTGTCACTCTGTTCAGAGGAACGTGGGGAGGAGGTGAATTATAGTTCTAGTATAAATATATTGTTTCTAAGGAGAGTCGATTTCAGAGTATGGTGATTGCAGGGGAGCGGCGCTTGGGGGGGACCGGCGCTTGCGAAGTAGCGGCAGTCACAGGGTAACGGCTAGGCGGGAACTGCGCGTACCTTGACAGCGCGCACGACATTCCTCTTCGACGAAACCGCAGTGGCGGAGGCCTTGCGATGGGAGTTCGGCGAGGTGGTGCGAAGAGACGGCGTTGGGGCGAGGGTGGAGGCGGACGAGAGAGCTTGAAGCGACATGGTGGCCATTTTGTTTCAAAGATGCGAGAAGACCAGCAATCTCGGTCTAGTTGACGCACAGGAGTGCGGATAAGCGGCAAGATTGAAAGCGGAGCAGCCCGAGTTGTGGACTAGACTGTTCTGAACCAGCGCCAAGACAAGAGAATGACGATGTCAGAATGAGATCACGGTTCCTGGTTGTGTAGTGAACAACTGTCGTCATTCTCTAGGGAAGGAGCTGGACGGGGTGACTTGGAGCCCGGATGACGTGGTTCGTGTTGCAAACACGCAAGCCAGACAAGCGCGAGAAGTTTCGTGCGTCGCACACAGTTACGAGAACTGGTTACACGATCTTGCGAAAAGAATATTGTTTCCAAAGAATCTGCTTGCTGACTCATGGCATGCCCTAGACTCCACTTGGCGAACAGGCTCGATGCCACGCAGCCCACGAAGATTCTGTCAGACCGTTCCCGATACTAGGCCTCATGTGGTATTATTAACAGCGTGTCAGGTAACCTGCTAAGAAACAATTTATGAAAGCATGAATAGATCAAGTGTTCAACTATGATATATCCAAGCATTTTATTCATTCATACATTTAAAATTTCTTGCTAAAATATTTATATAGCTCACTATCGTGACGCATGCATTGCATAATGCTTTTCCATTCAGAATATAAACGACCCACTCTATCTGCTGCTGTTATATCTGATACCATATATGAAGGTCTAAGTTCTAACGAGCTGCCCTTGAAAGGGTATAGTGTCTGAATCGAGCGAAGTCCCGTTGCTGTTTGAAATGGTCCTCCTCTCAAAGCAAAATGTCGTCTTGTTCAACTGCCCTTCCAACGCGTGTCGACGAGATTCATCCAAGCACCCAGCATAGTAGTGACCTTGATGGCCCCCAAACGAGTGCACTTCTTAGCCACCTGCTGCGTCGTGACACGGTGACCTTTGGCGGAATTCCTGCGCGCGACCGCATTACAGTTCCAGAATTTCAGGACTGATTGTGTGAACTGACCATTCCAGGAACTGAATGCGAACTAGAACCGAGCGATTTCGATTTACGTTCAAGAGCATCCGCATGAATGGTTTTCTTGCCAGAGTCAGTCCCTTGACGCCGCTTATCCTGTACCCACATTACTGAACGGCGATGTCTCGCATTCTCGTACCAGTGAGTTCCAATGGAATAGTAGCGTGTCCGTTACGCTATTTCACTGAAAACGTTATTCGATTTTTTACCTAGCAACCTGCGCGCGCTTGTGATGACCGAGAAATGAGCATGATTTTTTTTCGTCATCCGTGAAAATAAGAGTTTTATGGTTAGCCGTTACCATGGGAATGCCGTCAGCCGTGAAGTGAGAATGTGTGCCGCCAGAATCACACACTGCCGCCGCCCTTGCATAGCAACAGCTAACGCTGTCCCATTCCCCGAGTTTTGCGAATCTTCATCTTCCCGGGCTAACGCAGCATGGCCCCTGCACTCGCATGGCTCCTCTTGAAACCGCCACGAAGCTCTCACCTCTCCCTCTTACCATCCCCTCGCACCCCCTCTTACCACTCCCTCTCTCCTACCACCCCCTCTTACCACTCCCTCTCTTCTACCACCCCATCCGACCACCGGTATTGTCCTTGGTGCCACGCGTGGTGCACGCACGGCCATACCCCTTCCTTCTTGCGTGCCTCATGCTGTGGTGCACGGCACGGCAGGAGCAGCACCTCTTCCTCGCCGTGCTCGCCTTCTTCTTCCTCGTCTCCCTGCTGCAGGTCCGCCATTCACTTCGCCGTTTTTTTTCAAGCCCTGCGTTTGCTCGAACATAAATTCCGCCAAGCATACGCCATTTCATGAAGAAATGGGCCAGGCCATGCATCAATGGGTCATGCCATGCGTCAATGGGTCATGCCATGCGTCAATGGGTCATGCCATGCGTCAATGGGTCATGCCATGCGTCAATGGGTCATGCCATGCGTCAATGGGTCATGCCATGCATCAATGGGTCATGCCATGCGTCAATGGGTCATGCCATGCGTCAATGGGTCATGCCATGCGTCAATGGGTCATGCCATGCGTCAATGGGTCATGCCATGCGTCAATGGGTCATGCCATGCGTCAATGGGTCATGGCATGCGTCAATGGGTCATGCCATGCGTCAATGGGTCATGCCATGCGTCAATGGGTCATGCCATGCATCAATGGGTCATGCCATGCATCAATGGACCATACCATACATGCATCGAACATGATATGCACGTAACAGGGTTGAATGCCACACGTCCTCCTTGCATCTCCATCTATGTCCTGCATGATCACGTGCCTCTACACTCAACCATGCCCATGCCCATGCCCATGCCCATGCCCATGGCTCCCACGCCCACGCCAATGCCCATGCCCAGGCTTTTGCCAATGGCCGTGCCTTTGCCCATGCTTTGCCCCTGCCCATCCCCTCCTGTGCGTCTCCTTGCCTGGCCATGTACCTGCTATGTGTCTCCGTGCATGCCTGTGTGCCTCCTGTCACGCCCAGCTGCGGGTGACATGGGTGGAGAAGCACAGCGCCGTGGACCTCCCCGCCCCCATCTCCATCTCCATCCCCATGCCCATGCCCATGCCCATGCCCATGCCCATGCCCATGCCCATGCCCATGCCCATGCCCATGCCCATGCCCATGCCCATGCCCATGCCCATGCCCATGCCCGTGCCCATGCCCATACCCATGCCCATGCCCATGCCCATGCCCATGCCCATGCCCATGCCCATGCCCATGCCCATGCCCATGCCCATGCCCATGCCCATGCCCATGCCCATGCCCATGCCCATGCCCATGCCCATGCCCATGCCCATGCCCATGCCCATGTCCATGCCCATGCCCATCCCCATGCCCATGCCCATGCCCATGCCCATGCCCATGCCCATGCCCATGCCCATGCCCATGCCCATGCCCATGCCCATGCCCACGCCCATCCCCATGCCCATGCCCATGCCCATGCCCTTGCCCATGCCCATGCCCATGCCCATGCCCATGCCTATTCCCGTGACCTCCTGTGTGTCTCCGTGCATGCCTGTGTACCTCCTGACGCCCCCAGCTGCGGGTGACATGGGTGGAGAAGCTCAGCGCCCTGGACCTGCCACCCGAGGGCTTTGCCAGCCTTGCAAAGACAGGCGTACGTGTGATGTGATGCATGATGTGATGCATGATGTGATGCGTGATGCATGATGCCCGCATGATGTGATGAATGATGCATGATGTAATGAATGATGCATGATGTGATGCATGATGTGATTAATGATGTGATGCATGATGTGATGCATGATGTGATGCATGATGCCCGCATGATGTGAGGCATGATACCCACCACTCCCTGTGCACTGAAACCACCGCTTTCTCTTACACGATACGCAATTGCCTGCCTCTCACCGTCCCTTGTTCTAGCATCTCCAACTCTCCACATCAACCACACTGCCGTCATCAACTGCTGCCTCCTCATCCTTTCTACCTGTTTCCTTCCCCTCCCTCCCCATTATCCTGCAATGCCGATCTGCAGCAGCCAATCGGGACGAAGCTGAGTCAGCGTGCCATGCTGGCATACACCGCAGCTGACATCGCAGCCCTCCACCGTAAGCCCCCTCTCTCTTCCCTTGCGGATCCTAAAAGTGGTAGGAGAGAAGAATACGATGGAACAACTTGTGAAAGAAAGCGCCTTATAAGAAGAATCCACAGGTTCGTTTTTCCAAGCACTGGAGACGATCCCTTCGAAAAGGTGAAAGCACCCGTGCCCACTCCCCCCAGGTGCCATGCAGGAGGACGCGGACCAAGTGAGGCAGCAGCTGGCGGCAGGGATGGAGGGAGTGGCACGGGAGGTGGGGCAGCTGCGCCAGGCCAGCAGCAAGGCAGCAGGGGACGCGGCGCAGGTGCTGAGGGAGGGGCTGGAGGGGCTGCAGCAGCTGCAGGCGGAGATCAAAGAGCTTAAAGCCCGCGTGCGCCGGCAGGACGAGGAGCTTTCTCACCAGATGACTGCCCTGGCTCGGCTGCAGGTGAGAGGAGGGCGTACGTAGGAGGGTGAGGTGAGTTGGAAGAAGAAAGAAGCAGCTTAGAGCCAATGAGTTGCGGCAGGGAGGCAAGCTGCAAGGTGAGGGGGCGGGGGGGAGGGGGGTGGAGGAGGGAGGGGACGCAGCGCAGGTGCTGAGAGAAGGGCAGGAGGGGCTGGAGCAGCTTCAGGCGGAGATCAAAGAGCTTAAGACCTGCGTGCGAGCTTACTCAGCAGATGGCGGTCTTGACTCGGCTGCAGGTGAGAGGCAGGGGGATGGAAGGTGCTCGAGGCAAACCAAACAGGTGGGTAAGGCATTTGAAAATCCCTGCTTGCGCTGGTTGGCAGCATGAGGAGACTGCCCAACAGGTGGCAGTCCTGACCCGGCTTCAGGTGAGAGGCAGGGGACGGAAAGTGAGTGAAACGTGGGGCAAGCAGATGAAAAGGAGGGTGGTGGGACATGGAACCCTCCTCGTCCCCCTTACAACCCCCCAACCTTGTCCGCATCCCTGCTGCGTCTCTTCACCCTCATCCGAATTCTCTCCTCTCTCCAGCAGCAGGCATGGCAGGACAATGCCACCACACTGGCTGCCGCTGCCGATTTGTGAGTCGACTCAAAATATCAAATCATCCCTGCTGCATCTTTCCACCCTCATCCGAATTCTCCCCACTCTCCAGAAACAGGCACGGCAGGCACGGGCTGCTGCCGCCGCCGCCGCCACTGCTGCTGCTGCTGTTACTGAAGCTGGCGGTGGTAGCAGCAACAGCAGCGGTGGCAGTGGGGGGAGGAGAAGCGGGGTATACCACCGGCCGTGGCGGAGGAACGGGTTCAGACGGTGGAAGATCACAGATGACCGCCCGCAGTACTGGCGGCAGCGTGTGTTTGAGAAATATGGCGCCTATGGCTTTGTCAAGTTCAGGTGAGCCCGAAGATTGTGCTTCTGGCGCTGGCAGTAGCAGCAGCAGTAGCGACAGTGATGACCTCCTGTTCGCAGTACTGGCGGCAGCGCGTGTTTGAGAAACACGGTGCCTATGGCTTGGTCAAGTTCAGGTGAGTTCAAAGGTCAGGTGAGCGCAGCTGGATTTGAGAATTTGCCATGGCTGTAAATGATTTCATAGTTAAAGTGAGAGCACAGCTTAGGCACGACACGACACGACACGACATTGCATGGCATGGCATGTCATGGCTTCCTCTCCCCTCATGCCTCTCCCTCCCATCCCCTGCAACCCCCAGTGCATACCGCGTGAGTGCATGGCGAATAGCCGTAGCGGTCATGGTGCCTGTCTCCATGGAGGGCAAGACGCGCCTCAGTGGGCTCCCATTGACTTCATTGACTCTCTTGACCCTGCTTCCTCTCCCCTCTGCACCCCCCAGTGCATACCGCATGAGTGCACGGCGAATAGCCATAATAGGCATGGTGCCTGTTTCCATGGAGGGCAAGACGCGCCTCACGGATTGCACGTGGCACGGCTCTGATGGCAACCGTGTAGACGGCGACCTGTCTATCAGCCTCGTGGGCAAGCACCACAACTACATTGTAAGGCCACGCGTCGTTTCAAGAAGCGAAGTGCAATACGACTGTAAGTTGTCTCAACGTACAGTACATGGCACAGCACAGCTCCAATGGCTCCCGTATACATGGCGACCTCTCCATCAGCCTCGTGGGCAAGCACCACAACTACATTGTAAGGCCATGGCTTGTATGTGAATGGTCCATGCGTGCACATCACGTGGCACGGCGCTGATGGCTCGCGTATCGATGGCGACCTGTCCATTAGTCTTGTGGGCAAGCACCACAACTACATTGCATTGTAAGGCCACGCCTAGCCTGATGTCCGCCAGTATTAATCAGTTCCTTGACGAGAATGAATATCGTCTCTAATCCAGCACTTTGGGATTTTGATGATGGGTGCATCAATGATAAAATAACCATGCTACGATTATACCGCTTCCAGTTTTGTCCCCTCCTGCTGTATCCCTTTCCCTACTCCCCTTACCTTGCTCCCCCACTCTATGCCTACGTGGCAGTATGACGTGGCAGTGGTGCTGTGCACACTCAGCAGCGCCACCAAGGTAGCAGGCGGGCACCTGGAAGCGAGGATAGAGCAGGAGATACTGTACCCGTACAGGGAGGAGTCGAATCAGGTGAGACTTTCTTGACCCGTCTCAACATATTATAAATTTGGGGCATTGTAGGACCTCAAGGCAGCAGGCGGGCACCTTGAAGCGAGGATAGAGCAGGAGATACTGTACCCGTACAGGGAGGAGTCGAATCAGGTGAGACTTTCTTGACCCGTCTCAACATATTATAAATTTGGGGCATTGTAGGACCTCAAGGCAGCAGGCGGGCACCTTGAGGCGAGGATAGAGCAGGAGATACTGTACCCGTACAGGGAGGAGGAGAATCAGGTGAGGCCTTTTTCATATGTCTCAAAGGTAAGCGTAAGGCAGCAGGCGGGCACCTAGAAGCAAGGATAGATTAGGAGATACTGTTCTCATACAGGGAGGATGAGAGTGAGGGGATTCGTTTTTGGTATGTGTGAAGAGTTTTGAAATTTGGGACGTCTGAAAACACCCAAGGCAGCCAGCGGCTGCACATCCACCGCGTGCTGCTGCCTGTGAATCGTTTCCTGCTCTACGATAGGGGAAGAGCCCAACCAATCCCTCAACGGGGAGGCGGGGGGTTCTCGACCGATCCCTCTCTCCCTGAACCCACGCTTCTTTTCACTCCTCTGCCTCTCTCGCTTCCTGTCCCGCAGCTACTGGAAGTGCCGTCCCCGCTCCCGCTGAATGTAGCAGCATGCGTGACCCCCATTCATGGCACCATCGATGCCAGGAGGCTCCTCGAGTGGCTGCACTACCACCGCGTCCTCCTGCCTGTGGATCGCTTCCTGCTCTACGATGCGGGGGGCATTGGGGGCAATGGGCAGCCGTGGGGTTCTCATCTAATCCCTCTCTCCCTTCCCATCCTGCAGTCACTGGAAGCGCCATCCCCTCTCCCGCTGAATGTGGCAGCATGCGTCACCCCCATCCACGGCAGCATCGATGCCAGGAGGCTCCTCGAGTGGCTGCACTTCCACCGCGTCCTGCTGCCTGTCGACCGCTTCCTGCTCTATGATGCTGGGGGGTATTGCGGGCAATGGGGAGGCGTGAGGTTCTCAACCAGTCCCTCTCTCCCTGAACCCAATCTTCCCCTCTCTTTTCCGCCTCTCTCCCTTCCCGTCCCCAGCTACTGGAACCTCCCTCGCTCCTCCCACTGAACGTAGCAGCATGCGTGGCCCCCATCCACGGCAGCATCGACGCCAGGAGGCTCCTCGAGTGGCTGCACTTCCACCGCGTCCTCCTCCCTGTGGATCGCTTCCTGCTCTATGATGCTGGGGGCATCGCGGGCAATGGGGAGGTGGGCCCGGCACACAAGGAGGTGCAGCGGGTGCTGGCACCGCGGGTGAAGAGGGGCATGGTGGACGTTGTGTGGCGGTTCAGAGAGATAATACAGTGGGACGTGTGGAACTATGGCGAGGTATGTACTGTGGAGGGGGGGGGAGGGGGAAGGGTGTAGGAGAAGGGTTGGGGCTGTGGCTGCGCCGCTGCACTTCCACTGGGTGCTCCTCCTCCCCGTGGATCGCTTCCTGCTCTACGATGCGGGTGGCATCGCGGGCAATGGGGAGGCGGGCCCAGCACACAAGGAGGTGCAGCGGGTGCTGGCACCGCGGGTGAAGCGAGGGATGGAGGACGTTATGTGGCGGTTTAGAGAGGTGCTGCAGTGGGACGTGTGGAACTATGGCGAGGTAAGGTGTGGGGGGGGTAGGGGGTGATTTGCATGTGTGTGATTGGATGTACTGTCAGGAGCAGGCGTGAGGTACACGGTGTGTTGGGTGAAGCGAGGGATGGTGGACGTTATGTGGAGATTCAGAGAGGTGCTGCAGTGGGACGTGTGGAACTATGGCAAGGTACGTAACTATGGGGGTCTGTTTTGGGGGATGGTTGGCTTGGCATGTGTGGAATGGGCTGTACCATCAGGATCAGAGCACTTGGCATGTGTGGCATGTGCGTGCGATGTGCTTGGTGCTTGGGTCTGGTCCAGAGAGGTGTGGTGTAGTGACGAGGGGGTTCAGAGCGGTAGTGAGACGTGTGGAACTGTGGAGAGGTATGTTGAAGGGAGTAGGGGCTGATCAGTCGCGGCGACATTCTTTCTCCCTTCTTGCCCCCCATGCCCTTCAATCCATAGGAACAAGAACAAGTACTAGGAGCCTAAATAAACATTTCTTTTACTGCCCTTCTATCCATCCATAGAAATCGAGCCTTCACCTGCCCCTCACCCCCACCCCTCCCCTCCTTTACCCAACCCGCGCAGCATCTGGCCATCCAGGACTGCATATACTGGACACGCAACGACTTTTGAGACGTCTCAAAACTCACCGCACCCCACCTCTCCCCACCCCTCCCCTGCCCAACCCGCGCAGCATCTGGCCATCCAGGACTGCATATACTGGACGCGCAACGCCGCCCGCTGGCTGCTCATATCCAGCATCGACGAATACCTCCAAATCCCGCCGCCCCTCTCGCTGCCGGCGCTGCTACAGGAGCACGAGTCGCTCCCATGGCTAACTTTTGGCGCTACAGCCTTCAACGGCTCCTTCTGCTCGCCGCTACAGCTGCCCCCGCAGGCTGGACAGGGAGGGGAGGGGGATGGCGAGGGTGGGGGAGAGGGCGAGGGGAATGGGGATGGGGAGGAGGGGGAGGAGAGGAAGCGGGCTGCTGCAATGGCTGCTAATGAGGCCAAAGCTGCTTTTTCTGTGGAGAGAATGCGATTCAGGTGGGTGAAATGTGGTGCTGGTGGGTGGTGCGGTTCACATTGGTGTGAAGATGTTGCATAGAAGTGCGCAGAGCGAGCGACTGCTTTTCCACCAACCGCCAACCAAACAGCCCCTTACATATCCCTAGTAGCCCTCCAAGCCCTCTCTTCTTCTCTTTTCATGCAACCCCCTTCTTCCGTTCTTCTGAGAATTCTCAAAAGTTTTGCGAATTCTCGAAAGTGATATCCCTAGTACCCCTCCACCCCCACAAGCCCTCTCTTCTTCCCTTTTCAGGCAACCCGCTTCTTCCGTTCTCCCCCCCTCGTCTTCCTCAGGTGGCCCCACCCCGTGTGCTCTGATACAGACGTCTATAGCGCCACGAGGAAGGACGAGGAAGGCTCACGCTGCTACATCCTCTCCTACCTCCCCTCCCCCTCCTCTCCCCTCTCCCGTTCTTCCCCCAGGTGGCCCCACCCCATGTGCTCTGCTACAGACGTCTACAGCGCCAGCCAATGCCTGGACGAAGAAGGCTCTCGCCGCTACATCCTCAACCCGCGCCAGGCTATCACCGCCACAGCCAATAGCGTCGCGTCATCCCGCCCGGGAATAAACCTCCCCGTGGAGATCGCCAGGCTGGCGCGCTTCCCTGGTATCAGCCAATCAGGGTTCGCCACGTGTACGCTGGGGGAGCCGAGCGACAGATGGTGGGAGAAGGAGGAGGGGGTGGCTGCGCTGGCAGAGGCGGCTAGGAGGTGTCCTGCTTTAAAGCCGTGGACAAAAGGGGCGTCTGCTGAGGTGAGAAAAGTGTGATAGTGAGGGTTGCTTTCATGAGTAAGCTGGTGGGAGAGGGAGGAGGGGGTGGTTGCGCTGACAGAGGCAGCAAGGAGGTGCCCGGCTTTAAGGCCGTGGAGAAAAGGGGCGTCTGCTGAGGTGAGTTGACAAAAGAGGCGTCTGCTGAGGTGAGTTGTCTGCTGCTGTGGTGAGAAAGATTTGTTGTAATCTCAGGTGTGTGAGAGTGAGGGCTGGTGTTGTGGGTAAGGTGGTGGAAGAGGGGGAAGGGGTTGGCTGCACTGGCTGAGGCAGCGAGAGGAAGTGTCCGGTATTGAAGCCGTGGACGAAAGGAGCGACTGCTGGGGTGAGTGGGTCTGTTAGATGGACACGGGTGATGTTGAGGGGTGTTGGAGTGAGTATAGTTGTGGTAAAGGGAAGCAGGGGTGGTTCTCGGAAGAGGGTGCACAGAGATGCCCAAATTGGATTACTGGGTGAAACTGACCGACTGCTGAGGTGGGTAAGAGAAGATTACGGTAGGTGAGTCAAGTAGCCAATGCGTACTTGACTTTGCCTGCACGATACATCATTGCGGATACACTTGGTCGTCCATAATCTTTCTTCCACCTCATGCCTCCACCTGAGCCTTCAATATTCCATGCATTTGTCAGGGTTCCTGCCACTTTTTGTGACTGTCCCTCTGACTTACCTCCTCCCTTACCCTTGCTTTCATGACCATTGCTTCCTTTTTTGTAGAAATGCACGCCTGAAGGGATAGCCAAGAGGTTAAGTGGTGGCAATGGGTGAAGCTTGATAGTGCCTGGAGTAGAACAAGGAACCCCATTTTCGGTTTCCCAGCCTGATAATTGACAAGAGGAACATATCCTGTTACTGGAAACATCGTTAATGGCTTATTAACAACGTAACTACATATCCCGAGTCATGTAAGAAACCGTGTTGCTGACATGCACATACACAACGAGAATATTCCAACTTGCGACAATGTTTGTTACTGTAAATAAATTCCTCGTAGCTAGATGTTTATGAAGCATCATGTTTGGTGTACTGGACTTGAGTTCCCAAGGGGCGGTAACGAAATTGAAGTCGCATTTCCAGCCAAAATCCACTTTCCCGCTTGCTCGCCGCCCGAGCTGCCGCCAGCTAGTCGCATCACTGCACACTGCTATTGGCACAGCTGCCAATCCCAAGAAGGCCTTTCTAGGCGACTGTCGCTCGTTGTTCGTTGTTCGCCGTTCGTCAGCAGTCGCAAGATTTCGCTTTTCGCGCGTCGTTAGGCGATTGCAGCCATGAAAGCCATGGGCTTGATGGTTCTGGCGCTTTGGCTAGTCGCTTCCGTCTCTTCTTGCAAGGTTTGTTAGCGGCTAGTGGCTTTCATGTAGTCTGTATCGTGCTTATTTGTCTGCTTTCTATTCTCCCTCTTGCGCGCTTTGTGACACGGCGTTCTGTGTCTCTTGCTAGATTGCAAGGAAGTCACGTCTTTGCTTTACAGTGGCATTGACGCGTTCCCTCGTCCGTGACATGTGTCAGCAGCTAACGGTTTCTTGGTAAATTCATTCATGTACCAGGCGGCTCCGTCTCCGTCGCCGTCATCGTCACCTCCATTCTGCTCCGCCGTCTCTTCTGACGTAATATCGCCGTCCCCTGAAGCCCGCTCGCACCTGCTTATAGCAGGAGGCACTGTAGTGAACGCGGATGGCGAATTCGCTGCAGACGTTTATATCGAGGATGGAACCATCAAGCTCGTTCGGCCAAACATCAAGGTGACGTGTCCTGCACTCCCGGAATTTCCGTTCCAGACCTGCTTCAGATAAGGACCATACCAATTTGAAATGCATTGAGAGCCTTGCATCCATGAGGTCTCAGGTTTTGTGCAAACCAGTTTTATTAATTATCTATTAACTGACAAACGAATTCACCTTCATGTTTGGATCCTGACTGGTTCAGTTTCGCTGCACACATCTGGTGTGAAGTGACTTCTCTCTTGCTGCTGACGTGTTCATGCTGTTTGTCCTGATTCGGCCCTGCTGACGTGGCTGCAGGTTCCAGATTGGGTTCAGAAGATTGATGCTGCCGGGAAATACGTCATGCCAGGTATAGCTGATATTGCATGGGCTACATGCACACTTGCTCACCGTTTATAACGGATTCATCCTTGAGGTCGAGTTCGTGTGGCATGTCTACTTGGGTCAGGCAGCAGCACTGCCAGGCAGGGAACAACCATGACTATTCACAATTTCACAACGCTTTCTTTGCTCTACCCCCTCCCTAATCTCCTCCTCCCCTTCCGCTTTATGTCAGGCGGCATAGACCCACACACCCACCTCGCCATGCCCTTCATGGGAACAGAGTCCTGCGACGATTTCTACTCGGGCCAGGCGGCAGCGCTGGCAGGCGGCACCACCTTCCACATCGACTATGTGTTGGGGGCCACACCCGCTGCAGGGGGCGATTTGCTGCGGATTCTGGCGGAGTATGAGGAGAAGGCAAGAGGCAATGCGGTGATGGACTATGGGTTTCACATGGGTGTCACGCGGTGGAGTGAGGCTGTGGCGCGAGATATGGAAGAGGTGGTGAAGCGAGGTGAGATGCCGTGGGATGGGGTGCGGTGAGGTGTGGTGAGGGTGGTGAGGTGTGGTGAGGTGCGAGGGGGTGGGATGGTATGTGGAGGGAAGGGAAGGAAGAGGATGTGTGTGGTTGTGTTGGGCCACCCCAGCAGCAGCGCTGGCAGGCGGCACCACCTTCCACATCGATTATGTGTTGGGGGCCACGCCAGATGCAGGGGGAGATCTGCTGCGGATCCTGGCGGGATATGAGGGGAAGGCAAGGGGCAACGCCGTGATGGACTATGGGTTTCACATGGGTGTCACGCGGTAGAGTGAGGCTGTGGCGAGAGATATGGAGGAGGTGGTGCGGCGAGGTGAGGTATGGTGGGCTGAGATGGGATGAGGTGAGGTGGGATAAGATGGTGGTATGTGGAGGGACGGGAGGGGAAAGGGTTGTGTGTGATTATGCTGGGCCCACACCTCCTTATCCATTGCTCTTCCTCCCATACCCATCCCAACTCCTGATCGGTTACCCGCTCCAGATATTGCCTCGTTCAAGTTTTTCAAGGCAAACAAGGGTGCACTGCAGGTGGACGATTCTGGGAAGTATCAAACGCGACTCCTCTTCTCGCTTTTGCTCCCTGCTGCTCCCTAACCCTCTGATTCCCTCATCCCATGCCTGCCATGCCATGCCAGGCATCAACTCGTTCAAGTTCTTCATGGCGTACGAGGGCGCACTGCAGGTGGACGATCTAAGGATGTTCCAGATGCAATCTTTCGCCTTGCTTATTATGGCATGCCATGAACTTGCTCACCCGTGCGTGTCTGCCAGGCATCAACTCGTTCAAGTTCTTCATGGCGTACAAGGGCGCACTGCAGGTGGACGACCAGCAGCTCCTTGACGGGTTCACTCGCTGCAAGCAGCTTGGCGCCATCCCCCAGGTCGGTCACATGCTGCAGCCATGCTGTGCCCCTCAGGTGACCAGGTGACCAGGTGACCAGGTGACCAGGTGACCAGGCGTCACCGCATCTCACAACTTGACCTCCCTTCCTTGTCGCTCCTCCTTCTTCTCTCTCCATATGTATGTGTGCACAGGTGCATGCAGAGAATGGCGATGCGGTGGTGTGGGGGCAGCAGCATATATTCGACCTTGGGATCACCGGCCCCGAAGGCCACCCCTTGTCCCGCCCTCCTCAGGTGTGTGCGCTCAGTTCAATCCCGAAAGCTTCCAATTCTGCTGCTCTTGCTGAGGCGCAAACCATGTCCCATCCACTCTGCCATCAACCCTCCTATCCCAACCGTCACCAGAGCAACCCCAATTCTCTGTGCCTGGCACCTCATTGTGGTTTCAGGTGGAGGAGGAGGCGACAGGCAGGGCCATTCGGCTGGCGAATGTGGTGGGTGTGCCCCTGTACGTGGTGCATGTCATGAGCGCTGGCGCTGCCAGAGAGGTGGCAGAGGCCAGGCGCAGAGGTGAGTCGCAGGAGTGGGGCGGGGAGGTAGGGCTCTGAGTGGGAGTGACCTTGTGGCCCCTCAAGGCAGCACCCCTGGTTGTACGTGGTGCATGTCATGAGTGCTGGCGCTGGTGAGTGAACGGGTGGTGTGAGGCATCTCTCTCAACAACTCGCATGTCTGGTTTCCTGACTTCATGCACTGTGTTAAACACGCAATCTGCTGCACTGCACCCAAATATATCCCCACCGCTGGCAGGGCAGCGAGTGGTGGGGGAGCCGGTGGTGTCGGGCATTGCTCTCAATGACTCGCATCTCTGGTCGCCTGACTTCAAGCACGCCGCTCAGTGGGTTACCGCGTCACCATATCTTCGAGATTCAGTGCTCAATCTTGAATTGCTGCGTGTCATAGCTCCAATCATCCGCTCGTCGTGTTTAGCGCCATGCAGATACTGTTCCTGATGCGTTGTTTGGCATTGCCTTTATTGATCCAGGATTAGAAAGGTCAAAATGCTTCTCTATTCTTCTTTTTTCCTTTTTCTTCTTGAAGTCAACTTGAATGCACTGCTTAGCAGGAACGCTGCTCACCATCCTACTGGCTCTCCTCTCGCATGCCCCTCTGTCCCGCTCGGCAGGTTTGTGATGAGTCCACCCATCCGCTCTGCAGAGCACGTCGCAGCAGTCAAAGCAGCACTCGCCACTGGCACGCTGCAGGTATGCACCTTAGTTGAGGGTTATGATGTTATGAGACGCATCTCAAACCAACGTTATTATCGCGTCGCCACTGGTGCATTGCAGATATAAGGTTTATTAGAAAGATATTATGCTTTCAAGAATGTACACACCCTTGCAGTCCATTGCATGCACACCCTTGCGGTGCATTGCATGCATGTAGCATCCTTTGTGCTGTCACAGTGCACCCCTACCGATACCTTCGTTGTTCTCGACCTCCTTATCCATCTTTCCTTACCCTTACCAATTCCCCACAACCTCCCTCACTCCCGCAATGCCTCGCTGCCTCTTCCCCTTTCAGCTTGTCGCCATGGATGGACCACTGCCCACTTAACTCGTCAGGAGGCTCTAACACTACCCTCGCTACCCTCACTTCCCTCTCCACCCTCACAGTGCGCACTCTCTCCTCACTCCCTCCTCTTTCCTCAGCTGGTGGCCACGGACCACTGCCCCTTCAACTCGTCTCAGAAGGCATATTCTGCCTCTCTCCTCACTACCCTCACTTCCCTCAGTCTGCTCTCTGTGTTCTTGCTCTCCCTCTCCCCCTCTCAGCTGGTGGCCACGGACCACTGCCCCTTCAACACGTCTCAGAAGGCCAAGGGGCGCCACGACTTCCGCCTCATTCCCAACGGCATCAACGGTGAGCGGGGGGGAAGGAGAGGGGGGGATCCATTGATAATGGCTTGGATGATGTCGTGCACTGATATGGTGCCTTACGAGTGCTTACGTATTGCTGGATGTGGCGTGGTGGCGTGAATGGCTGGATGAGTGTTGATGGGATGATTGGGAAGGCCATCGTGCACGCTCGTATGCCACAAGTCACGAGCCACATGGTAGGTGCTTGTGGAGATTTATCTTGTTTGGTTTTTCTGGCTACCATTGGCTAAATAATCTCTTTGCATATATGTGTCATGTGTCTTGCCATTTGTGCAGGTATCGAGGAGCGCATGCACATAACCTGGGACGTTATGGTGGTGAGTGGGCACAGGATGGGATGGTGGTGAGCATGGAAAGGGATGGCATCAGGAGGTGAAACTACTAACTTCTGGTGCATTGATGCATGTTTGAATGTCTGTCTACACACACATTCTCTCCCTTCCTGTTTCTCCTTCCCCCCCAATGTCAACCCATGGTCACAGAATTCGGGTCTCATGTCACCCAGTGATTATGTCCGCATCACCAGCACAGAGTGGTGAGTCAGCGGTGGAGGGTGGTGAGTCAGCGGTGCAGAGTGGTGAGTCAACACTACAGAATGGTGAGTCAGATTTCTGAATGGTGACACAGCAGCACAGAGTGGTGCGTCAGCACTTCAGTGAGCAATCATCTGCAGCCACTCCCGTTCTCCCACCTGTGTTCCGTCCCTCCCTTCCTACCCAACTCTCCCCTATTCTCCCGCCGTCCTAGATCACAAATGTACGTACCCCCTTTACAGCGGCGTAGATTACTCCTAGCCCTATCCCCACCAATGTTTTCCCTTCTCCTTCCCCTTTTCCTCCCCTTTCCCTTTTCCTCCCCTTTCCCTTCTCCTCCCACTTCCGACTATGCTCCTCAGTGCAAGGATATTCAGCCTGTACCCGCAGAAGGGCGTGGTGGCTGGGGGCTCAGATTCGGACGATTTTTTAGGCGCCTCAAAATTCCCGTTTCTTCCCCCCCCCTCCCCTTCCTCCGTCTATGCTTCTCAGCGCAAGGATATTCAACCTGTACCCGCAGAAGGGTGTGATAGCAGAGGGATCAGATGCGGACGTGATTGTGTTGAATCCAAAGAGCACCACCACCATCAGTGCTGCCACTCACCACTCGCGCATTGACACGAATGTCTATGAGGGGTGGCGCATGCAGGTGCGACGAGACAGGGATGATGCTGTTTCTGAGGTACCTCAGAAACAGGCGCACAGTTGCAGGTGGATGAACGAGTGTTTGAGCTGAGTTTATCTGCGCCACCATCAGTGCCGCCACTCACCACTCGCGCATTGACACGAATGTCTACGAGGGGTGGGGTGCATGAGTGAGCGGGACACAGTTTTTTTTTTTTTGTGTAATATATATATATAACTTAACTTTTTAGGAACCAACTGGTGATCGTCGTCCCTCATTCCCCCCTTGTAGTCCTCCATCCCCCCCGTCATCCCAACTTCCCCCGCTGTCATTCCTCCTCCCTCTCATTATTCCAACCATCACACTATCATCCCGCAGGGCAACATCGAGGTGACAGTGACTCAGGGCAGGGTGGTGACAGTGACTCAGGGCAACACTGTCACCCCACAAACATCCTACTATTCCATCCCCCCTCCAACCATCCCGTCCTGCAGGGCAACATCGAGGTGACAGTGAGTCAGGGCAGGGTGGTGTGGCAGCACGGGCGGCTGAACGTCACCCGGGGGGCGGGGCGGTTTGTCCCCATGCGGCCGTTCGGCCCGCTGTTCCACGGCATGCAGACGAGGGATGCCACCCGCGTACATGCATACAGCGCCCCTGTGCGGCGAGATGGGGACGGGAGTACTGCTGATGCATAAAGTGGGGGGGATATGAGGAGGGTAGTGGTGCTGACGCATGAAGTGGGGGGGATATGAGGAGGGGAGTGGTGCTGGTACTGCTGCTGTTTAGACCTGCTTGTTACCTCAACGGGCAAGGGATGCTGCCCGCCTGCACGCTTACCACGCCCCTGTGAGGCGAGATGACGAGAGCAGTACTGCTGACGCTTTGAGTGCGGGGAGATGGGGTTGGGAGTGCTGGTGTTGACGCTTAGAGTGGGGGAGGCATGGGAGGGGAGTTCTGCTGATGCTGCCGCCATTTCGAGCTGCTGTTTCCTCAACATGCAAGGGATGCTGCCCGCTGCCTGCACTCTTACTGCACCCATGTGAGGCAACACGGGGACAGGAGTGCTGCAGGTGCTGCTGCACTCCTATGCTGATAGCATGTGACTCAGCAATCGTGGTGGAGAGCAGGGAATATCGGTCTGTCTGCCTGTACGTTCTCTTGGTCTTTAAGAATTCTGAGAAAGGACTGTCCGTCTCTGGATCTCCAACTGAGCTGACAGCAGTCCAGACTTGTGTGGCAGGCAGACGCAAGTTCGCTTGTTGCATGCTGTGCCATGGCTTACAGTGGAGCTAAGGAGGGCTTGTACAGGAGATATCTACGAATGTACTTTCATTCCAAGAAGCAAAGTCAGTGTACATGCAATGCATACATTGGTATGGCCTCAGGCAGAGCAACACAGGCAAGTCAAATGCGGTTGTACCGTATTTCCCCCCCTCCCCTGTAATCTAAAGTCAATTCAAAACAGTGTTCAGGTGATTTGTAGCAGCCATTGCACTAGCTCGCACTTATTCAAACAACCTAGGCGTCCTAGGGTAAAACTCCCATCCCATGTATTGCACAGCCTCTGATCCGGAGGGCACACCATACTCACCTCGCCTTCTTACTCGCCTCGCCCTCGCCCCTCCTCTCCTCTCTTCTCTCTTCTCCTCACCTCGCGCTCCTCCCACCATCCCTCACCTCCTCACCCCAGGACCACTACCCCAAGCCGGCTTCGCACCACCTCCACTACCCCAAGCAGGCCTTGCCCTGGCACCTGCACCCCCCACTCTCCCAGCCACACCCGCAGCAGGAGCACTGCCTCTCAGGCTCGTGGGCCACTTCTCCACCATCGCTGCCATCTGCTGCTCCCGGCTCTTCCTCCTACCCTCCCCACTGCCTCCACCCATGGCTCCACCGCTTCCAACCACTCTACCTCCACCAGCACTGCCAGCAACAGCAGCAGGCAAGGCGAAGCTACCGCTGCCGCAGCTGCCACTGGTTCGGAGAAGCAAGGAGCTCTGGGTGCTGTCAGAGGGGCTTCCTATGCCGGCCATGCCACCCATGCCGCCCATACCACGCATGGAGTGGGTGTACGCCCGTGGACTGCCGCCCATGGCCATGGCAATGGCAGGCGATGCGGGCGGCGCTGCTGCTGCCATGGCGGAAGCCATGTACCGTGACTCCACGTGGCGCGATCCCATTGGTGGAGAGCGATGAGAGGGGGACGAGGAGAAGTGTGGGAGTGGGGTGCGAGGGGAGAGAGGGTTGGAGGAAGAGCCGAGGGCAGGTGGTGTGCGGGGTGTGCGTGGTGTGAGAGGTGTGTGCGGTGCATGCAGATGGGTGTGCGAATGGGTGTGCGTAGTATCCCTGGGGTCCAGGGCAGGGGGGAGGATGAGGAAGGACACTGAAGGGGTGGCAGCAGAGGCTGAGAACCTCCCAACTCCTCCACACCGACCAATACCACCACCAACACCTCCGTTTCTCCCTATCCCACCGTACCTCCCGATGCCACCCCCCTGCTGCACTGCTCCCTCCATTGGCTTGGGTTGACTTGTCTCTATCTGCGTTGACCCAGTTCTACTTGTCTCCCCATGCGTTGACTCAGGTTGACTTGTCTCTCCCTCCGTTGACTCAAATTGACTCAACTCTCCATATGTTGACTTGAGTGGACTTGTCTCTCCAACGGTTGACTCCGTTTGACCCATCCGTTCCTCCATTGGCTCTGTTGACTCCAGTTGACTCATCCATTGACCAGACGACCCCTTGCTCCACCCACCCCATGATCGCTTCACTTCACCTGCACCTGCACCTGCACCTCCCACAGGTACACCTCCCCCAGATGTGCCAAACTCATGCATGCCTATCCCACTTGCGACCCCACATGTGGCCTCACAAGCACCTGCTTTAGATGCACCAGCCTCATCAGAAGAGTCATGAATGGTCCTGACTGGTTCAGGTGCAGCCCTGCTGCAGTCAGCATGCCTGCTGCCGCCCTGCTGCTGATGCTGCCTCTCCTCTTGCTGCCTCTGCTGCTGCTGTGGCCGACGCTGGGGAGAGCGATTAGAGACGGGAGGAGATCGGGTAGAGAGGGGGGGAGAGCGAGCAGAGAAGGGAGGGGAGCGAGAAGAGGGAGGAGGTGAGCGAGCAGAGGGAGGAGGTGAGCGGGAGGCAGTAGGAGATCGGGGACGAGTGGGAGGGGAATGGGGAGCGTGGGAGAGTGCCGTCCGTGTCCTGACAGGGGAGGAGTGAGGAGCGGTGGAGGAGGGCTTAGGGGAGGTGGAGCGGGGTGAGGAGGAGCCAAAGGGAGGCGATCGAGGGGCCTGCTTTGCTGCTACGGCTGCCCTTCCAGCCGCAACAGTCACAACTGCCGGTGTAGCCACAGCAGCAGTAGCTGCCCTTCCACCTGCAGCTGCTGTGGTTGACTTTGTGGCCGGTCCCAGACGCGTGAAGGTCTGTTTTGCTGCTTTGGCTCCTGGCTCAGCTGCAGCAGCAGCAGCCGTAGCTGCTGGTGCCTGTGGTGCGACTGGTGCTCTTGCTGGCTGTGCTGCTGCTGTGTCTTCGTTTGGTGCCACTGGCGTGATTCGTGCTGATTGTGTGGTTGCGTGTGCACGTGTGCTCCCGCTCTGCTGTTGTGCTGCTGCGGCTCTTGAGGCACGAGAGGGGATCGAGAGTGTGGGCGAGCGAGTAGAGGTGGAAGTGAGAGGGGGAGAGCGGGGCTTGCCTGCACCGATGCCAGCACCAACACCATCAACACCACCACTCGCACCAACACCACCACCAACAACACCAACACCACCAACACCACCACCACTCCCACCAACAGCGGTATGAGCTGTGGCAGGGGAAGCAGGAGTAGCTTCGGCGGCAGGGATGGGCGTAGGTTTGGCAGGAAGGGAAGCAGCGTCAGGGACGGAAAGTACACTGCTGGCAGGAGTGGCATCAAGGGAGAGAGGAGGGATGAACGCTGGGGAGGAGGAGAGGGAGGCGAGGGTGTGGCGTGGTGATGAAATGGGGGATGGCACAAGAGGAGGAGGTGGAGCAGCAGCAGCAGCAGTACCAGCCTCATCCGCACCAGTATCAGCATTATTATCCGCGTCATCAGCATCATCAGGACCAGCATCAGCACGATTATCAGGAACTGCAACAGCAGAGGATGAAAGAGGTGGGCTTCCTTCCGCTTGCACCGACCTCCCTTTCCCTTCCTCCTCCCCTCTTTTCACACAACTAACTCTCGACCCATCCCCTGCGGACTCAGCTTCCGTCACTCCCCTCCCTTCCTCCTCTTCTGTCCTGCTCACCCTTCCTCCTCCAACTCCCCTCTCCCTGCTCTCAGCATCAGCCTCCCCTCCGTCCCCACCATCCCCAGCAACCCCCATCCCACCCTCCATCCCAACATCCATCCCACCCTCCACCACTCCTTCGCTAGGCTCGGTCTCCGCAGCTGAGACCGAGGTTCGGGCCGAACCGGACCGCCGGACGTAAACAGAGAAGGTAGGATCAGCACGAAGAGACTCAGAGGAGGGTATGCGACCGAGGGAGAAGGAGGAGGATGCGCGGGCAAAGGGAGACACAGGGGCGTTCGCGCCAGGCGAAACCGGCCCTGAATGCAGTCCAGATATGGGCCCTGAAACTGGGCCTGAAACCAGCCCCGAATGCAGTCCAGATATGGGCCCTGAAACTGGGCCTGAAACCAGCCCCGAATGCAGTCCAGATATGGGCCCTGAAACTGGGCCTGAAACCAGCCCCGAATGCAGCCCCGAATGCAGCCCCAAGCCTGGGACTGCCATTGAAATGGGCCCTGCCCCGTACAATCCTTGGCTTGTTGCCGAACCAGTAAGGCCTGGGATTGCAATCCGTGCCAGAGTTGCCGTGCCACCAAGTGGAGGTGCGGTGATGCGCGCTTGGGAAGTGCTCCCTGCCTGGGGAGTAGCAGCAGCGCCTGTCCCTGCTCCTCCTGCAGCAAGGCTCCTTGCCTCCAGAGGGTTGGCGCTGCTGCTGCTGCCACTGGCGTTGCTGGTGCGAGCGGCGAGGCGGGCCGCGGCTGAAGCAGCAGCAGCGGAGGCAGAGGCGGAAAGGGGGATGGATGACTGGGGGGAAGGCCGGGCAGGCATGGCAGATGGCGCTGCTGCTGGTGGTGTTTGCGCTGATGGTGGTTCCACTCCTGCTGCTCCAGCACCATCATCACCTGCAACCTCTTTCAGTCGAGCCTCCCCAGGTTGGCCCTCCCCCAGGTAGTTCTCCCTGAGCTGCCTCAGCTGTGCAGTGGCGCGCTTCAGCTTCGCCAGCACACTCCCCTCCCTCACCGCCACCCTTCTCCCTGCCGCTGCAGCCGCAGCTCCTGCTGGTGCTGCTACTACTGGTGCTGGTGCCGCTGCTGCGGCTGTGGCGTGACTTGGTAAGGGTTCATCTCTGTCCCCTTCAGTTTCCTGCTCCTTTCCTTCTACCTTTCGCTCTCCGTGTTGCTCCTTCTCCGCTGTTCTCTCTACCTCTCTCACTCTTTCCTCCTCGCCCTCACCACCCTTCTTTGGAACCTTCATCTCTTCCTCTTGCCCCTCTGTGTTCCTCCCTTTTGGCTCGTCTTGCACTCTGCTTGCCTCAACCCCATTCAAAGCGCCAGCACCAATACCAGTTGCACTACCACCCGAGCCACTTGAACTAACATAAGCACCACGAGCACTTGCAGCAGCAGAAGCCTCATTGCCCTGCGCCTCTCTCTCTCCCCACCTTGCCTGATTGCCCAAGGTCCCGTGTCTCCTCCCGCTGCCACTGTTCCCACCACTGCCCTCTGGGATCTCCAAGCCTGCTTCCGAGCCTGAAAACGAGCCGCTGCCTCCGGTTCGGGACTTGCCGCTCCTGTTTTCTTCGGGTGCTGGGCCTGGGAGGTTCTCTTGTGCCCATGCCTGCACTCGATCCGCACGCTCCCAGCCCCTCTCCTGCTCCTCCCACCCCTCCTCCCTCCTTTCTCCTCTCCTCATCTGAGTCATCTCAACGCTTGCACTCTCTGCACCGCTCCCAACACTCCCCTCGCCCTTCTCCACTCCTCCACCTTCCCTTGTTTGCACCTCCTCTCGCCTCCATTCTTCTCTATTCTCCCTCGTCCTCGTCTCATCTCCCTTGGCGCCATCGCCCTGCATACTCGATCCCTCTCCCTCCTCTCTTCTCCCAACATCACCACCATCGTCATCACCATCATCACAACTACCGCCACCACTGCTATCATCCCCAGCAGCACCAGGTGCAAACGCGCCTACATCATCCTCCCTTTGCTCCTCCCCTCCTCTCTCCCCCGCTTGCCTCCCTTCCCCTGCACTCTCACACCTCAACTGATTCCCTACACCACTCGAAGCTGCAGACGAACCTACCTCCCCCTCTCCCTCACGCACCCCTCCTCTCTCCCCCTTCTCCTCACGCCTCCCTTCTCCCCCACTCTCAAACACCAATCGCCTGCTCACACCACCCCTACGCACCCCAAACGACTCTGGCAGTGCAGGGAGGGCGTCAGCAGGGGAGAGAGAGAAGGACGAGCGGGGGGAGGAGCCAGGGGTAGTGGCAGCAAGGGGCGAGTGCGGGGGAGAGGAGGCTAGGCTAGAGGCGTTTCCGCCTGCCTGCCCGCCTGCCCCTGCTGTGCCCCGCTCGCTTCCCCCTGCTGTGGGCTGCTGTCGCCAGTGGAACGCGGAGAGGGAGGGGGGTGGGGGCGTAGGGAAGGGGGAGAGGGACGGGGGTGCGGGAGTGGAGAGGGAAGGGGGCGGAGGTAGTGGGGAAGGGGAGTGGGGAGGGGAGGAGAGGGGGGAGAGAGAGGGATTGGCGGATGGGAGCGGGAGAGGGGAGCGAGGAGGGGAGGATGACGGGATGTGGAAAGCGGTGTGAAGCGGTGATGCAGCCGGGGAAAGCAGCGGTGACGCCCCAGCAAAAACAACACCAAAGGCACCACTCCCACCACCAGCACCACCAGCACCAGCACCAGCACCAGCACCAGCAGCATGTAGCAGCGGAGAGGGAGAGGGAGAGGCGGTGGCGGCGCATGAACTGGGAGCGGGCGACGCGCAGCAGAGTGGCGGGCTGGGCGTGGCAGCGCTCGGCGAGGTCAAAGAGGCGCACTGCCACGTGCAGGCGCCCCTCCGCCTCCGCCATGTCCACCTGCCTCAGCCAGTGCCCCACCGTGTACAGCGCCTTCTCCCCCCCTGCTCCCCCTCCGCCTCCCCCTCCGCCTGAGCCTCCCCCCACACTGCCGCTGTGCCCCTGTGCCACTGACCCGGCTAACCCTGCACCCACTCTCTCCTCTCCCCCTGTTCCTGCTGCTCCACTACCACTGCCATTACTTCCATCACCGTTCCCACTCCCCCCTGCACCACCAGCAGCCCTACCAGGACTCATCCCACCACCCGTAACACTCAGCGGGCTGCTTCCCATTCCCATCCCTCCCCCCAGCACCCCCCCGCCACTGCCCGTGCTGCTCATGCTCATGCCGCCCATGAGGCCCATACCCAGGCGGCTGGGGCTGCTGGCTGTGCTGCAGCTGGTGCTGCAGCCGCCGCCCATCTCCTCCACCTCTGCTGACACCGCTGCTGCAGCCGCCGCTACAGCCGCTGCTGACTCAGCGTCCAGGTCAGCAGAGAGTGCATCCACATGGGCAGAGAGGGACGGTGGGAGAGGCGGCTTGGCAAGTGTAGGAATGAGCTGGGCTGGCAAGCAAGGCTTGTTGTTGGTCGCTTCTAATTCCACCTTCTCACCCTCAGCATCCTTGCACTCCTCCTCACCGCACCCCACCTCCTCACCTCCAGCCTCCTCCACCTGCTCACCGCCCTGCTCGCACTCTCCCACCTCCTCGCCCTCCCCACCCATCTCAACCCCTTCATCCATCTCACCAGCCGTTTCCTTCACACCCTGCTCCCCTTCCGCGCCTTCCCTGTTATCCCCACCAAAATTACCATACTCGCTGCCTGCTCCCACCTCCTCCCTCTCTGTCTCCCCTTCTCCCTCCCTCTCTGTCTCCCCTTCTCCCTCCCTCTCTGTCTCCCCTTCTCCCTCCCTCTCCGTCTCTCCTTCTCCCTTCTCCACCTCGCCTTCTCTCTCACTCTCTGCCTCACACTCTCCCTCCCTCACTGCCTCCTTGCCCTCCCTGCCCCCCTCCATTTCATGGTAAGGAGTTACATCCCTCTCCATCTCCATCCCAAAACCCCCCTCCCCCTCCTCACTCCCCCCCTCCTCCTCCCTCTCACTTCCACTCCCCTCTCTCTCCACCTCAATCACATCCCCTTCGCCCCCTTCCCCCATCTCGTTTCCTCCCTCCACCTCCACCCCCACCACCCCCGCATGTTCTCCCTTTATCACGCCCTCCTCTTCCCCCTTCCCTTCTCCCGCCCCAACCACACCTCTTCTCTCCACCTCCCCTCCCACCTCCCCTCCCACCTCCCCTCCCACCTCCCCTCGCACCTCCCGCGCACCTCTCCTCGCCCTCCGTGTTCCCCTCTCCACCAGTGCTTCTAGCTCTCTTCTCAACGCCTCCACCTCATCAGGTAACAGTCCCTGCTCCAGTGCCAGCTCAAGCTGACGTAGACTCGCCTCCACTGCCACCTCATCCAGCTCGCCGTCCTCGTCAGCAGGGTCCCCTAACACGTCAGCACCTGCGGGGCCTGTGCTGTTGCTGCCAGCGTGGAAGGTGAACGGAGCCCCGTTTACAGTCACACTCGCACTGTCACCAGATTCGCCTGGAGTATTATCACCATCACCACCAGCAGAAGCATCAGCAGCAGCAACAGCACCACCAGCACCACTAGCCACAGCTGCAGAACCAGCTGAACCAGCAGAACCGTCACCAGTTGCAGCCTCCCCCTGGCTACCCTCCACATCAAATACACCTCCAATCGAATATACCTGTCCTGGCTGTAGCACGGGCAAGCCAACTGCATCCCGTCCTTTCCCTGCTACAGCCGTTCCTTCCCCTTCCACTGCCTCCTCCTCCCCACCACCACCCAGAGCGAATCCCTCAAGAGAGAACGGAAACCCAAACACTGATAGCGCCTCTGCTGCTGCTGCATTCGCATCCTCCTCACTATACTCCCACATCTCATTATCCCCCGCTCCCAAGCCTCTTCCCCCTCCCCCTCCCCCTCCCGCACCTTCCCCATACTCCCCCAATCGTTCCAGCGCCTGAGCCACCGCTCCCGCCTCCATCCCCTCGCCAGCTGTCGCGTCCTGATTGGCCGGAGCGTGCAAGGTGGCCCCGGAGCTGCGCATGCGGTAGAGCATCGAGGCTCGGCCCAAGGCTCCGGGTCGGGAGGCGTAGACGACCAGGATCGGGAGCACCGAAGTTACGCTGGGCTGCTGCGTTGGTGTGACTGTATCAAAGGCAGGTGGAGGAGTGGCAGCGTCTGTGCTTGTATCCCCCTCTGCAGATGCTGCAGGGATATCATTCTGAGAGCCCTCGAAATGCTCTGTCAATGGCTCAGAGGTGTTCTCTTGAGTCGCCCCTACAGCAGTCTGACCGTGGGGCGCTTCTAAAGCAGTGAGTCTTTCAGTCTCCTCTGAGGCAGAGTTGTCAGCAGCCATTGTTTTCATGTGTGGCAGTGGAGTGTTGGTTTCTGCAACAAAGGCAATGGTAGCAACTGTTTTCGTTCCCTCGCTGCCAGCACCTGAAGCAGCACCTGAAGCAGCACCTGAAGCAGCAGCTGGGTCAGCATCAGCAGCATGGGGAGGCGGGTGGATGGAAACAGGAGCAGGAGCAGAGGTAGAGGCAAAGGGAAGCCGGATGGTGCGGCTGAGTACAGAGCGAGGGACAGGCAGCAGAGCATCAGCAGCAGCAGAGCAGCCAGCAGAGGCGCCAGCATTGGCAGCGGCAGCGGAAGCAGCAGCAGAGAGAGCGGCAGTGGTGAGGGCGGAGTGGTTTCTGCGCCACAGCCCATGCATGAGTGGGCGAGGGGGAGCAGCGGCGGATGGTGCAGCAGCAGCAGCAGTAGCAGGAGCAGCGGCGGTGGCGGCAGCAGCAGGGGGGAGGAGGTGTGGGTGGTGGGCGCGGAGGAGGGAGGCGAGTGGTAGGGGGTCCTCCTCGCAGTCACAGTCGTCGATTTGGTGGGGGGCGGTTGGGAGCGGTGGTGTGGGTTGCTGGATAGCAGGAGGCGGCAGGAACACCGGTGGCATCGTTGAAATCAGGTCGGCGAATGCAGCAGTGCTGCTTGGAGAAGGAGAGGAGGCCTCTAACGGAGAGGCATGTAACGGAGATGCTTGTAACGGGGATGCTTGTAACGGGGATGCAGCAGCACTGGCAGCAGAGGCCGTGTAGTCTGATGCGGTGCCGTCCCCCGCTGCCCCTCCAGAGGTCATAAGAGCCGCAGCAGCAGCAGCCATGCCCCCATCCCATTCCGCTGACATACCCATCGTCACCATATCATCCTCCCCACTCGCCCCATACTCTCCCCTCGCTCCGTACTCCCCGTTTGCTCCATACTGCTCCCTCTCCCCAGACTCCCTCATTCCACCATACTCCCCTGTTCCACCATACTCCCCTGTTCCACCATACTCCCCTGTTCCACCATACTCCCCTGTTCCACCATACTCCCCCCGGCCTACACCATATGCATACCCACGCCCTGTTTCCTCACCCTCGTCCCTCACACCCTCCTCTCTGGGTTCCCCCTTTCCTCTTCCCCTCTCGCTCTCAGCTTCCCCCTCCGCCTCCGCCTCTCCCTGCTCTCTCTTCCGTTTCCCTGACACCTCCCGCTTAGCGCTTCCCTCCTCCTGCTCCTCCTCCTCCTCCTCCTCCTCTCCCTGCTGTTGCCACCGCACCATGCCATACCCGTACCGGTCCAGATCATGCCCACCCTCCGCCATGCCATCTCCACCATCATCCCCATCATCCGCATCATCCGCATCATCCCCATCATCCCCACGCCCATCCGCATCATCCCCAGCATCCCCATACCCACCCTCACCCTTGTCATTTTCTCCCCACTCTCCAACTGCCCTTCCCTCCTCGCCCCCATAAACCCCCCTCTCCGCCCACCCTTCCATCTCCCCTCCTCTTTCCCTAACCCCCTCTTCCCCCTCATCCCCTGTCCCATACCCTTCCGCGCCCCCTGACCATTGCCCTTGCGCCCCAACCTCCGCATTCCGCCAGTCATTCTCCGCCTGCCCTTCGTTTGCACTTCCTCTCCGCCCCTCCGCCTCCTCCCCCACCATATCCTGATCTCCTCTGATGGCGGAACCCTCCCCTGTTCCCCGCTCCTCCCGCGTGCTCCCCCCTGCCGCCCTCTTCCCCCGTTCGTTTCCGCCATGCGCTCCCCCCTCCCCGCGCCTTGACCTCCGCGCGCTCCACTGGGCGCGCAAACTCCGCCTAGATTCCGCCTTGCCCTCTTCCGCCTGTCCTGCGCCATCTCCCCCGTCCTCATCCCTCCCTCCCGCCAATCCCCATCGCGCCCGGTGCTTCCGCGAGCTTCCGCCAAGCCCTCCCCCGCGCTTCCGCGTACTCTCCCGCGCGTCCCCGTCATCCGCGTCCGCCGTCTCCCCCGCCGCCATCCCGCGGGCCGCCACTGCGCCCACCGCAACCGCCGCCGTAGCTTCAGCCGCAACTGACGGCGCACCATCATCCCCAGCAGCATCTGAATCATAGTAGTCATGATTCTCCTCACCTCTCTCCCCCGTATTTCCCGCTTCTTCTCCAGCTGGAACCGCCTCACGTTCGGCCGTTGCCACGTCAGCCTCAATACCCCAATCTCCCGCCGCGCCATTACCAGCTGCATCCCCGCTGGCATCAGCCTCGTTCGCGCTAGTAACTGTCGCGGTATTGGCACCATCACCACCACCATCACCACCACCATCACCACCAACGCCTCCAGTAGCTGCAGCAGCGGAACTCGCGCCACCGCCAGCAGCGGCAGCAGCGGCAGCAGCAGCAGCGGCTGGCGCGCGCAGCTAGAAAGTCCGCAAACGACACGTCAACTCCGCCGCCCCGGAAATACTCGTGAGTGACCTTACTCACCGGTGACGCCGCACTCCCCGCGCTCTGCCTCCGCCGATTCCTGTACTCCGTGATATCCGGAACCTTGTAGTACCGCCCCTCGTCCTCGCTACTGCTCTCCGCGCCTCCGTTATTATCAGCTTCGCGATAAGGGCCGGGCGAGCGCGAGAGTGCTTCTAACGAGGGCAAGTGGTCCACCGCGGACGACGGCGAGGAGGGCGTCGCGCCGCGCCCGCCCCACGGGCTCGCGTCGGCGACGTGCGGACTCCACGCCGCATCTTGCGGACTCGCACGCAGCGCCGCTGATCCTCCCTGTTTCTGCGTCTGCTGGTCCTGGCCGAAACCCCCGGAAATTACGGAAATCTCGCCCGAGTCCGCCACAGCTGCGCCTCCCACGCCGCTCAACCCGCCGCCGTTCGCGCCGCAGAGAACGCTGCCGCTGCTGCTGCTGCGCGCGTGCTGCTGCCGCGCGCGCCTGTCTCGCGCGCCCGCAACTATACTCTCAAACGGCAACCCCCCCGCCTCCGCCTGCTCCTGCTCCCGCCGCTGCTGGCGCTCCTCCCACTCGCGCTCCTGCTGCGCCTGGAAGCGGCGGGAGGGCGTGGCGGAGGGGGTGACGGGGCCGGACAGCATGTCGATCAACCCGCCAGCGCTAGAGCGCAGGGGGGAGACCGACCGGCGGAAAGGGGAGCGGGAGGGGAGCGGGGAAACGGAACCCGCGCGCCCGCTTATTGCGGAGGAGCTTCCCGCGCCCGCCCCATCCCACACCCCGCTTCCGCGCATGCTTCCGCGCACGCTCCCGCCCCCGCCTACCCTCCGCTCCTCGTCGGCTTCCGCGCCCATCCGCGGGCCTCTGTACGGGGAGAGAGATCGTCCGCGCTCGATGGGTCTCCGCGGCTTTGGGGATGTGTCAAACATGCGCATCCGAAGCGGAGAGCGGGACCCGGACCTGCCCCGAGCCTCGGCGTCAGGCTCGGCAACGGGCGTCCGGACGTACAGGCCTGCGAGCAGTCCGGAGATTCCCCCCGACGCGCTTGTCCGGGGGGAGTTGGCGGAGCCGGGGAGCGGGGAGGCTGTAGGCTCGTCTGACACGTGTCGCTCTAACGGGTCCCGCTTCAGCTGCTGCGGCGTGTGACAGTAAATGGGTGACTGTAACGGGGCTGGCTCTATCGGGCCGCTGTAGTGGCGGGGTACCATGGGAGGCGACTGAAATGAGTCCCGCGGGGACGGCGCGAGGGGAGTGCGCGGAGTGCGCGGGGTGGCGGGCTGCGTGGGCGCGTGGATCGGGATGGCGCTGCGAGTGGTCTTCACGTGAAGACCCCTGCACGCATGGAAAAGGTCGCGTGGGGGCATGGAGGGGGATGGGGAGCGGAAGGGGTTGGGGAGGAGGAGATGTGGGAGTGTTGAATCGTAGGGACGTTGGCACGTGAAAACCTAAGGACGGGGTAAAGATTGCAATGATTTCAGGAACGACTACGGTAATTGGCACGAATAAACTCCGTCCGTTTTGCCATTTGCCTTAGTTGGTCGCCACTCACCGTTGCTGCTTCTCCGAGCTTGCGACGATATCCAAGTCTTCGCGCACATCGCGAGGCACGTGGTTTCTGAGAACTCTCAACTCTCAAGTCGCCCACTCACCGTTGCTGCTTCTCCATGCTCGCGAGGATATCCAAGTCGGTGCGCACATCGCGCGGCACGACCTGCAGCGGCCAGCCCAGCGACTCGTAGTCCGCCCAACCGGACGCCGCCAGCTCCGCCGCTGTCATCATCTTGGTCTAGTCGCGTTATTCACGCGGCACCGATATTCCCTCGAGGGATGGCCTATGCTACTGGTTCAACATGCGAAGTTACCGTCACGCGTCATAATTTTTTCGCAATGGCCCCGCCGAGTGCGAGGCTCTGTCGAACCCTCGGGCGTCGTCAATCTAGGCGGACGAAGTGGAAACGATTGTCGGCGCAATAAGTGAAGTAACGCTGATGCTTCTACGTCTACGCGGCTCCTCCTACCCTTGGCAGTTGGTGCATGGTCTTCAAATGCATACAGTACAATGCCCAGACGCTAAAGCGGGTCTGTTATCACCCAAAAGCAGAGCCCATCAGTACTGTAATGCATTGGGAGACATATGCGGCGTGGCGTGGGTAATGGTGTTTGTTGTGGTTGCAAGAAACCGCGCAACGCTGGCGCGAATAGAGTGGGGGAGGGAATTTGAGCGCAACGCAAGTCAGGAGAATCCAATGAGGGGATTTTGGCGGAGGCGCCAAAACGAGGGAACCAACCTAACAGCTGGTCAAGCATGTCCGCCCGCAGCAAGGGGAACGAGGGAATGCTGTCCCGCGCACGGAAAACGCGAGGCAGGTCATCCGTACCTGCCGAGATGGCGTCTGCGTTCGCATTCGTTACAGTGTTAAACACAAGTAACCGTCGATGTTTCCGATCCGACGGTGGTCTGCAGTGTTTCTAAATGACCCGTCACGACAGCTTCCCCAAACTGCTTTCCAGCCCTTGCCAATCAGCCCCCAGTAGGGATCGTGCCGCCAACTGCAAGGCCAACCGAGTCGCTCGTGGTGTGCGAGGCGAAAATTGGTGTTCGCGGACGCTTGTGGTAACTAGACCGTGATATGAGTACACCTCGTCTGTTATGAGTTTCTCAAAGAGACTGCACTGAATAATGAATTAAGAAGCCAATGATACATTGAACACCGTCGAGATAGTATAGTGGGGAAAACCCTAGTGAAGTAACTTTGACATATCACCCTGTTCATATCAAAGCACATGCGTAGTCATTCATGATGCGAAGATTCACTATACAACTGGTAGACAGATAGCGAGGCCGACTTCGCCCAAGAGATGGCGATAACTTTTGTTATCAACTCATCCTTCTTTGGAGTGAGCAGTATCGGGGCGAAGAAGAACGACGTTCTCATGTGGATAAATGCCTTTTGTAGTTGTCAACGAAGCCCTAGGATACAGCGGAGTGAAAATACCCTTACACACGGTTAGTGGCCACGTAATCGTCTCAAAGTTGTATAGATGGAAGGTTTGGAAAAAATACTGTATTGCAGTGTAAGCTGGGTAAAAGACCCTGCAAGGGTGACCTGCCACCCTGGAACGAATCCTGTCAGCCGGGGATACGCTGCGGCTGGTCAAGAAGAACGGAAGTTCTTCCAAGAGCCATGGGGAATATCGAATTACACCAATCGAATTCCTCCCCCTAACCATTGGGGCAGGAATCTTGTCCACGTGGTGCGCATACTGTCTGAAGGAGAGTACACATTCACTTTATGACTTATCCTAAAGGTTTCCATTTTGAAATTATGACATTGTATGAGTCGTCAGAGTGGGAAGCTTCAGTGCCTCATTTTCCGAATGCTTACTGTGGGCAAGGAGTTCCATCAGCTACACAGAGTCACGGTCTACCCACTAAGAAAATAGGGAAATATGGAAAGAAGAGTGGCCATGCTGCTATCCCACCATTCTTGGAAAATATTGTTGGAACTGATAGCAGAGAATGATGCTGCTGAATCTGGACAGCTTTCAGACTCCCAGCAGGAAACCATGTGAGGGTCACGTGATAATGAATGCGGTGGCATGCTAGTGGCAGACTCACTCAACCGTGCGACTTTTCTGGACTGACAGCGTTTCTGTATCAAGAAACGACTTCAGGTGCAGCAGGAATATCAATCCACGCGAGCGTGGCCGTATGCTACTGGTTTACTCCCCTGGGTCATGGGAACATTCGGTCAAGGCACCAAAATGTTTGGCGAGTCCTTCCTGACCACATGTCTGCTTCTTCTTTCCCTCACTTCTAGGAATGGTTAGCAAGAAAATCTTTACGGCTGCAAAAATCCGCCCTTTCATGAACGTCACTTTTCACCTCATCATTCATACCTAACATGTCACCTTCACCTAAGGACGTGTTGCAATTGCCGGTGCACTGCATCGGCAAGGGACATTTGGAAGGCTCCAGGCAGGAGAGCGGCCAAACCCGGGCAAAAAAACATTTAAAGAAAATGATTAGAAGAGTTATTTGTTTAATGTGTTTTCAGGATATATAATGCTTTTGCGCGTTTTCTGTAAATTCTTTTCGGCCTCTAGCTTCCCGGAGCATTTCGAAACCCGTGCCCCAAGCCGAGCCCATGCAGTGCACCGGCAATTGCAACACGTCCTAAAACCCGAACTGCATAGGGCTGGTCACACGAATCGTGAAGCTGCCCCTTCGTCGACACAAGCGTCAACCAACCTTACCTCGCTCACCTTTCCACCGTGGTTTTCCACCACTGGAAAGACGTCTGCTAAGTGCTGGTAGGTAAAGCGGCGGCCGACTTTGTTGAGAGCTCCAATGAGACTTGATTCGCTTGGTGAGGGCAGGTGTTGCCATTCCAGTGCTGTAGTGTACTACTGAACCATCAACAAGCCCGAAATGCTTTTCCCTGTAGTGTACGCCAAGCGTGGGATATTTAGGGCTTCACGAATGCCTCAAGCCCAGCAAATATCTTTCAACACACCCATCTCTCGGGGAACCCACACTCAGCAATCCCGCCACTTGCGGCGAACCATGACCACATCTTCCAATTCTGAGAAAAACATTCGCTTCCCTCGTTGCTTCCTTCCCAACTAGCACCTATGGAGGAACTATAGTGCGGATGAGCAGTGATGACGGTGATGCATTCCTAATTTCCTATTCGTACCACCAGCCGTCCGTGCGCTCCAACGACAGCATTTTCGTAAAATCACAGCTACCTCCTCCCCCCCACGCGCTCGAATGATGCTCGCCTCCAGCACTTTCCCCCAACTGACCGCACATTCGTGATTCCCCGCGCATGCCGTAGTGATCTGCTCTCGAGAACAGACGAAGGCGTCGAGCGAGCGAGCTAGCTCACAGTTGTACACAGCAACCGAAGCATGGGTGTGAGTGAGTCACTTATTGCTGCAGGGTGAGTCACCCAGTGCCAGCCAGCATATCGCACAGCGCCAGGGCAGAGCAGCTCGCACGCCGCGTGTACAGTACAGCGCACAGGACCGGGGTGCGATAGGTCCCATCTCAGCTCCCACCCACCCCATCTAGACGCACGGCCCAAAGCGCGGCTGACAAAGACCTTCCGCTTTTCACGCATCGTCAACGCGGGAGTTTCTGACTTCCCCCCCACTGGCCCAGAGCAAGGTGGTCAGCCGACTGTGCGGTGGAACGAAAGCCGTCACTGTCCGTGAATCACTCGGTCCTGCCCACCATATCCTACTGTGCACAGTACCTGCACCCGCCATAGAGCCCATATCCATCATATTTCACTCTCCGCATGTTCTCTCTCCCGCAGCCTGTTCCTCCAGTCGGAGTCCCGTCAGCCTCAGCACTTTCACATGATAAATCGTCGACTCAGCAAGCCAGCTCGACGCAGAACAGAAGCTTCTTTCAGAAATCAACCTTCCAGTAATCAGTGAACCAACGTCCCCAGCACCTAGAGACACTTTTCCAGAGACAGCTCCGCAGAAAGCAACGTCTTCCAACGTTTCCACTCCACCGTTGTTACAACCGTCGACCGACCAAGTCACCGTTGTATGCACCGGGGGGTTCCACTAAAGCACAAGCAGCGCCGAGGACTATTACGACCAGCAATAGTGGCACCACCGCCTTCCGGATTTTAACATCATGAACAGTCTTCGTTACCTCCCCACTTGCATAGAGTCGAAGCCTTTCTGCCGGCGGTACTATCCGCTGACGCGAGCACCAGCTGCTGTCACTGACAGAGGTGGCGCCTCTCCGAGTCGTCCAGATGCGTGCGCCGCCACCCCTGAGGCTCCCGCCAACTCTGCCGTCGGTTCTGCCGTTTCTGCCGCCGCGTCCGCTGCTTTAGGCGGCGCGCAAACCGCCTACGGCCCCGTCCCCTCGCACGTGCGCGCGACGTGCGCCCTTTGCGCGCGTACCGCCGCGGTGCGCTGCGCCGCCGACCGCGCGGACCTCTGCGTCGACTGCGACGCGGCCGTGCATTCCTCCAACTGCATCTTCATCCGGCACGCGCGCTTCGTGCTCTGCGCGCGCTGCGCCGCGCCGACGAATTGCCTGTGGCCGCCTGCGGCGGCTGGCGCGAACCACGCTCTTCCGCCGCGCGTAGTGTGCGGAGCATGCCTTCCGCTTCCTCCCGACGAGACGCTCCCCAAGCGCCAGAAATTCGACGCTTCCGCCGCATTGCTACCCCCGGGACTTGCGGGCTCAAGCGGACTCAATGATATCCTTTTTCATCCATTCTCGGTGCAACAGCAGAAGCAGAAACAGGAGGTCACGCAGCCGCCGCTTCTTACCGTTCCAAACTGTTTCAGCGCCGGTCCGGGAAGCCTGACAACAGTAACCAGGAGCCAGATTGAAGCGGCGTTTCCGCTGCTCAACGCGCTTTCACGGTCCAACGACAACCTCTCCCCGGACCTTCCGCCGCTCCCAAACTCCGCCTCCTGCAGTTCCCTCACTGGCGCTTCCCCTCCCCGTCCCCCGACTCCGCGGACACTCCAGCTCTTCCCCGTAACCGCGGAGAGCGCAGCCGCGGAATCCGGGGGTCAAGCGCAATGCGGGGGAAAAACGTCACCTCCGAGTACCTGCAGCGGCTTTTCGAGTCAGCCGCAGGCGGCGGTGGCGGAACGTGGTGCTGCTGACACGCGAAGCCCGCTGCGACTCCTGGCGGACGTCGCGGGCGCAAATGCAGCTGACGCGGGGGCGGCGGAAGCGGTGGAGTTGCCGACATTACCAGAGCTTGCTCTCCGTTTGACCGTGGCCCTCACCCCGGCGGAGGCAGCGCCTGCTGGCCCGTCGGGAAAGGGTTTAGGGTTTCATCTGACCGATTCTTTTGCGGACGCAAGCGAAATCACCACCAACATAACCCTTCTGGGCAAGAGGAAGTTCGAGCGTAAGGGAGACCCTAAAATTGAAGCAGGAGAGAAACAGCCACCGTCGCTGCCGTCGATGGTTCCGCCGTTTATCCAATCGGCTTCGGTCATCTCACCACCGCCGCCGGTCTTGGTAGAGTCGCCACCACCGGCAGCACCAGCCGCTGCGACAGCAGTGAAATCGTCAGCGGGAGCGGCGATGATATCAGCAGCAGGAGCGGCGGAGCAGGCGGACGGATATTTCCACCTCTCTCCGCGCAGCAACTTGCGCCACCAGGTCGCGGACCGCCTGCGCCGCATCCTCTGCTCGTGGTGCGCGAAGCTGGCGCTGCGCGGGCAGCGCGTGGTCGACCTCGCGCTGCACGTGCTTCAGCGCGCGCTAAAGGACCTGCCGCTCGGATCCGTCGACAGCAACGCGCTGCGCGTGCTGCTCGCGGCGTGTTTGTGGACGGCGGCGAAACTCGACGGGGGCCGGCAGAAGGATGTTCCCAATGCCGCCGTGATGTCTGCCGTCTCACTGGTGGAGGTGAGCGTGCTACAGGCGGCGGAGCTACAGCTGATGAAAATGATGAATTGGAAACCTCTGGAAGGGTTTGAGGCTTGATGACGATTCCGAGCAATAATTGATGGCTTCACCCTCTCTCGTCAGTTCGGGATTCTCCTGACTGCGCGCTCTGATTTAGAATCACACGATTAGGACCAACTGAGTGCTAACCATTTTTGAATCAGGGGAGAGAGGAAGAGAAGCCATTGATCCGCAATTTTGAGGCGCAGGAGGCGGAAGATGGGGAGTTCGCGCAAGCTTTTTCCCCGCCTTTCCGCCTCAGGCGCTATATGCTTGTTTTTCCGCGCTGCTTTCCGCAGCGTGGCAGCCTGTTCGCTAAGCCTTAGCAGTCCTCGCTAATAGGTACTGTAACGGTGTAGTTACTCGTTTGTATATCCCAGTTAGTAGGCTCGCTAGTTGTTAGTACTACATGCAATAGCATTGCATGCTAATGCTGTTTCTGAATGCTATTTACCTTATTAAGCTCCTTGTTTCCTTGCTTGTACAAGCTCAAGACTTTATTATATACCCGTACACCTGAGCCACATACAAGTACCAACAGCAAAATACAACCAAATTCGCAATTCTAATCGCCATGTCAGTAAGGGGTGGAAGTCACAACACGTTACAAATGCACAGCATCAACACAACAACAAACAGTAGGTCTCAAAATACAAGCCGCTGACCAAAAATAGCATTCAGTAGCATAGAAATACATCGCCTGTGGAAGAAAGCATGGAGCATAGGTTTGTTCGAGGTGGAGAATTCCAAAAGGAGATGCAGACTGGAGCCTGTGACTACAGCAGCAGGACAGGAAGGGAAGCCAGCGGCGAGGCGTCACAAAGCGCAGAGGAACAGTGCGGAGCAGGGGCAACCAGATGTGGCATGGAATGGATATGGAGTGACAACAGGCAAGCAACCACCATGCTTGAATGCAACAGGTAGCCAGCTGAGGATAAATATGCAGACTGTGACCAGGAGAAGGGGAGGTGCTTGAGACTCGAGAAGGCACGGATGGATTCATCGTGCGCCATTCAACTGCAGGGGAGCTTAGCACTGGAAGGCACGATGTAAGCTGGAGGCAGAGATGATGGGTGGGAGCTGAAGGGTGTCCAGGTGAGGGTGATGGAGATGGTCGCAGGAGGACAAAGATACAGGCGGAGCAGGGCTACCTGGGGTGTAGGGATAGCTGTTGCAGAGGTTGGTGCGAGAAAGGGAGAGTGAGAGACGGCGAGTCGTTGTGGCAGCAGGTGCAGCCAGGGAGGGCCGCAAAAGCAGGGCTACATGGAGAGAAGGGGACACTTGGGCAGGGCTACTTAGGCAGGGCTATTTGGGCAGGGCTACTTGGGCAGGGCTACTTGGGCAGGGCTACTTGGGCAGGGCTACTTGGGCAGGGCTACTTGGGCAGGGCAACTTCGGCATGAACACTTCAGAAGAGCAGGGGGGATACTTCGGTAGGGTTACTTGGACAGGGCTACTTGGGGCGGAGGTTGGTGCGCGCGAGGATGCGCTTGCCGTAGGGGCTGCTGCGGAGGGACGGCAGATGTGGGCGAATGGCCTCCACCAGGGCAGTGTACAGCGGTCCCTGAGGGAGTGAGGGGGAGGGAGAGGGTGAGACGGGTTAGAGGCAGTGAAAGTATGTCAGGTTGAGTGGGTGCATAAGGGACGGCAGGTGCGGGCGAATAGCCTCCACCAGGGCAGTGTACAGCGGCCCCTGGGGGAGTGAGGGGAGGGCGAGGGTGGGACGGGTTAGAGGCAGTGAAAGTATGTCAGGTTGAGTGGGTGCATGAGGGACGGCAGGTGTGGGCGAGGGTGGGACGGGGACAGGAAGGAGTGGGTGAGGGGTGAGGAGAGGGAGAAGGTGAAGGCGAATGGAGCGGTCCCTGGGGGAGTGAGGGGGAGGGTGAGGGTGGGCAGGGGACAGGGAGGGAGAGGGTGGGGTTGGGCAAGGTGCAGGTGGAACAGAACAGGTGAGGGCATGGGAGGCACTTTTGTCCCGGATGATGAGGTCGCGGCAGTTGTCAGGAGCGAGCAAGCAGCAATCCCCTCTGACGCCCCCTCCCTCCCACCTGACCCTCCCTCCTGCGAGCCCAAGCCCAGGCTCACCTTAGCCACGGTCAGTGCGGACTGAACCACGTAGTTGGCAAACGGGTCCTGCAGGAGCTGGCCGAGGAGCGGCGAGACGACGAGCTCCTGGATGATGAGGTGCGGCAGTTGTCCGGGGCGAGCTTGAGCACTTATCTCTTAAACCCCTTCCCTCCCATTTGACCTCAGCCTCACCTTAGCCACTGTGAGCGCCGACTGAACCACATAGTTGGCAAATGGGTCCTGCAGTAATTGGCCCAGGAGAGGGGATACCACAAGTTCCTGGATGATGAGGTGGCGGCAGTTGTCAGGGGCGAGCTTGAGACACCTCTCCCTGACACCAGTCCCCTCCCACCTGCCCCTCGCCCCAGTAAGCCCCAGCGCCCCAGCTCACCTTAGCGACCGTGAGAGCCGACTGAACAACGTAATTCGCAAAAGGATCCTGCAGGAGCTTCCCCAGGAGCGGCAAGACAACGAGCTCCTGGGTGATGAGGTGGCGGCAGTTGTCAGGGGCGAGCTTGAGGCACTCCCCTGTGAAGCCCCTACCTCCCAGTCGACCCCAGGCTCACCTTAGCCACAGTGAGTGCGGACTGAACCACATAGTTTGCGAACGGATCCTGAAGCAATTGGCCCAACAGGGGCGAGACGACGAGCTCCTGGATGATGAGGTGGCGGCAGTTGTCTGGGGCGAGCTTGAGGCACTTCTCCACGACGTTGCTGCTGAACTTCTGCTGCGCCAAGGGCGCGTACTGCCCCTGCATCCGCACCACCACCTCCTCCATCGCCCAGGGCAGGCCCAGGTCCAATACGTATTGCACCACATAGTTGCTGGGAGGGGGAGAGGGGTAGGAGAGGGGGAAGGGGCGAAAGAGAGAGAGGAAGGCGTTGGATGGGGCTTAAGAGTCTGCAGGCGCACCACCACCTCCTCCATCGCCCAGGGGGAGGCCCAAGTAGTTTAGGGTTGCTGCAACACATACTGCACCAAGTAGTTGCTGGAGAAGGAGAAGAAGGGGGGGGAGGTGGGTAGTGGGGAGGAGGGGAAAGAGAGAGGCGAAAAACGCTTGAGGTGCCTTAAAAGCCAGCACGCACAGGAGAAACCCATCATGGAAAGAGTGCGTTAAGAGAGGAATGCTCACCCGAAGGGGTCTTGGGAGAGGACGAGGGCGTTTGAGGCGACTTCAGCAAGAATGCGGTTCTTCTGCTGGCCCTGTGCGAAGTCAATGCAGCGCTGCAGCACACAGCAGCCATGGCGGTGCGATGCAATCTCCACACAGTGGGACACCGCCGCATTGAATATGAACTGAAGGGTGGGGGGGGGTGGGGGGGGGGTGGGGGGGGGGGGGGGGGGTGTTGCGGGGGCGAAGGAGGTGAAGGTGGAATTTTTTTAGGCACTACATCTGTCCTACACAGCGAAAGGAGGGCCGCGCTGAGAATGAGCTAAGTGGCACAGGGATGGGGGGATGGTGGAGGAAGAACGGAAGGCTGCCGTTGAGGTCCTTATTCAGCGTCACCACTCCCAAACCGTTGCATCCTCTCTCCCTGTGCTCCCACCTTGCTTGCACTTCACTTTCCCCGCTCACCTCGTTCTGTTGCGCTGAGTGTCGCTGCAGGCAGCGCTGCACGGCGTGGTTACCGTTGAGGTCCTTGATCAGCGTCACCACTCCCCAACTGTTGCACTCCTTTCCTCCCTCCTTACTCACCTTATGTTACTGCTCACCTCGTTCTGCTGCTCACATTACTCACCTCGTTCTGCTGCTCACATTACTCACCTCGTTCTGCTGCTCACATTACTCACCTCGTTCTGCTGTGCGGAGAGGCGCTGAAGGCAGCGCTGCACAACGTGGTTGCCGTTGAGGTCCTTGATGAGCGTCACCACGCCGCCCGCCAGACTGGCTGTCAACCGCTGCACCGCCTGGGCGGCCGTCACCGTCTCTATCAGCTTCTGCACCGAGCGCGTGCTGTTGGTAGGGGACGAAAAAGAAAAGCTGGTGAAAGAGGGTCATCACCGTCATCAACTTTTGAGACGTCAAAAGCCAAGCCACTGTACCGCGCCTGGAGGGCCGTCACCATCTCGATCAGCTTCTGCACCGAGTGCGTGCTGTTGGCATGGACACGGGAAAGGGGAAGCGGGAGGAGACAGCGGATTTTTACCATATCAGCCCTAAACCCTGACCGGCCATGTGCAGTTTGACACCAAACCATCAACCCAACCACTGCAGTCACCCGTGCATGTTGAGGGAGATGCTGACGAGGCTTACTTGGTATCACCCTTTTGACATCATCCCTTGTTAACACCCCGTCAACCCAACCACCGCACTCACCCGTGCATGTTGAGAGAGATGCTGACAAGGTCCGTCTGGTTCTCCGTGGCCATGGCCAGGATTTCTTCCCTCTGCACCTCACTGCACACCTCCAGAGCCTTCTGCACCAGATAATTGCCAAACGGGTCTGTCATGAGCTCCACCATGTGTGGCTTGATCTCCTTGAATATGCGCGCCACCTCCTCTGGACTACCTTCGTCGAATTTACGCTGCAGAAACCTGCGGGCAAGGGGTGGCAGGAGCAGAGGGGAGGGAAGGACAAGAGGGGGGGTCGGTCATGAGCTCCACCATGTGCGGCTTGATCACCTTGAATATGCGCGCCACCTCCTCTGGACTGCCCTCATCAAATTCGTGCTAGAGAAGACCTGTAGTCCCGAGAGGCAAGGATGCAGTGCAGTTTCAAGAAATCCACCATTTGCAACCTAATTTCTTGAATAAGCCTGCCACTTCCTTGGGACTTCCCTCACCAAACTTCCACAGGTGAAATATTTTCTCCTTACGCTAAGGCCCACCTGCATCCATGCTGGTCCTTGGCAATGACGGCCATCTGCCCTTCCACCTCATCCAGTGAAGAGTACTTCGAATGCTGCGCCGATCCCAGCCCCATCCCCATCCCTCCCACCCCATACCCCCCCATCAACCCTCCAGCCCCAGAATACCCCCCCACTGAAGGCGACCCACCCCCCAGGTCCCCTCCTCCACCCAGCCCAGATCCCGGCCCTGGACCCATCAGCCCATTCGCCCCATTCGCCCCGCTCGCCCCGTCCATTCTCTTCCGCATGCCACCCCCACCAGGCCCCAGCATTCCGGGCGCCCCGCTGGCTCCCATCCCCACCCCTCGTGCTGCCCCTGCACTGCTGCCGCCAAACCCAGGGGGGGTTCCTCTTGCCCCGCCTGCACGTGGACCTCTGTCAGGAGACACATAAGGAGCCGCCCCTACGCGGTAACCAGCCTGGGATGTTACACCCTGCGGTGCACTACCCGCAATGCCTGCTCCGCCCCCTGCTGCTCCCATAGCTCCTGCTCCTGCTCCTGCAGCTCCCAGCCCCATTCCTCCCATGGAATGCAGGAACGGGCAGGACTCCCCCCGCGCACAATACCCGCTCTGAGAAAAGAACTTGCACAGGCCAGACGGGGTGCTGCTGCTGCCGCTGCCTGCTGCGCCTGTGGCAGGGGGAAACCCAAACCCTCCCGCCATGCCTGCAAGGCCTGGGTTGAGAGCGAATAGATCCATGCCTGGTGCGCCCCCTCGGAGCATCTGAGCGGCGGCGGCTGCTGCTGCTGCGCCGATGGGGAGGTTGGAGGCTTGGCCTAGCAGCTGCTGCTGCTGCTCCTGCAGGAAGGCTTGCTGCTGGAAGAGCAGCTGCTGCTGCTGCTGGCGCTGCTGCCGCATGAGCAGGTCCTCCTCCACCTGCTGCTGCAGCGCCTGCAGCCTCTGCGCCTGTGCCTGCAGCATGGCCATCTGGAGGGATTCAATCAGCCGTGGAGTTCAGAGAGCAGAAGGGAAGGACGAATACAGGAAATTGGCCTGAAGTTGTATGGTAAAAGGGAAAAAAACATGCATGATCAGTGGGCGCTGGAGGGAATCTTATCAGAGCATGATTTTCAACCCAGCAGCTGGTCTCATACCTGCTGTGCCTGAAGCAGCGAGGACATATCCACATCCGATCCTGCTGCCACCCCTTGTGAAGGCCCCTTTCCTCCCTTATCCTTAGAATCCTTCTCCCCCGGCCCCGCCACTACTTGCTGCGGCTGGACCTGCAGCGGCTGCTGTGGCTGTTGGATTCCCCCCATGGCAGAGAGCATATCCGCAGGGTTCGCCCCAGGGAACATCCTCGCAGCCTGCAGAGCAGCAGCTGCTGAAAACGCATCCATAGGCGCGCCAAGCCCACCCAGCCCAAACCCGTCCAGCCCCATACCCATACCAAACCCCCCTCTCTGCCCAGCAGCCCCAGGTGCGCCGGCACCCATGCCTGGAATCCCCGCAGCTGCTGCCGCCGCTGCCGCCATGCCTCCCATCCCGCCATACAAGTCCACCCCAGGCGCGCCTGCTCTAGCCCTCAGCAGCTGCTCGTACAGGTGCAGATTCGAGGGGGCGATGCCTGCTGCACCAGGCAGCATCCCAGGCAAGAGCCCGGCGCCCCCTTGAGCTAGAAGGGTGTCCAGACCCAGAAGCCCCGCGCCCTGGCTGCCTAGCCCCGGGGAACCAAGTCCTGGCAGTGCCCCTCCTGCGGCTCCAGCCAGAGAAGGGGAGCTTGCAGCAGCAGCGGGAGCAAGAGGAGCTCCTGGGGGGGGAGTTGCTGGTCCAGCGGCGCTTGATCCTGCTTTCTTCGCGCTGGCGTCAGTTGCTGCGCCTTTCCCTGCCTCCACAGCCTTGTCTTTGTTTTGGCTGGGGGCAGCAAAGGCTGCGGCTGCAGCTGACAAGCCCATTCCGACAGGCAGTCCTGCTGCTGAGGCTGCGCCTGCAAGTCCTACTCCAGCCAGTCCTGCTGCAGCTCCTGCCGCTCCTCCTCCACCCACGGCTGCCAGAAGCTCCTCTAAGCCCGCTCCAGACGCCCCTGAGGCTCCTCCCATCGCCTGTAGCAGCGCGGCGGTCGTGAACGGATCTAAACCCACAGCTCCGCCCAGCAGACTCGCAGCAAGAGCGGGTGGTATACCACCAGGGCCTCCAACCGTGCCTGCAAGAGCAGAGATCCCTCCAGCGGCGGAGGAACCAAGAGCAGAAATGCCACTCATTCCTCCCATAAACCCGCCTACATTAGCCGTCCCTACTATGACTGGACTGTCCTTGCCGCCTTGACTTGCAGAAGGGCTGCTCACTTGCTGCTGGGACCCTGCCTTGACTTCTCCTGATCCGCTACCAGCAGCTTCGTTACTGGCACTCGCATCTCTGACAACGGGTGTAGATCCTCCTACACCGAGCCCCTGAAAAGCCGCTGCCAAACCATTAGCTCCAGAGGCGTCTTGACCCGGCCTCTTGTCAACCAGCGCTTTTCGTGACATCTCCCGTTCTTGCAGCGCCTGCTGCTGAGCCACCTGCCGCTGCATCTCCTCCAGAAAGGCCTCCTCGTCCGTCCCGTCCCCTCCGCTACCAGGCGTCGCCCCGTCATTGGCGCTCCCGCCCTCTTTCTGTACCCTCTCCGCGTCCTGCCTCCTCATCTCTTCCATGCTTTCCCTCAGCTTGCTGTCGTCTAGTGCCAAACTGCCAAAGAATCCACCATCGGAGCCCATCTCGCCTTCTCTTGCAGAGATCCGAGGCGAATCGGTGTAAAGCTGGAGATTCTCCACGGGAGGTGGGAGTTTCTTCACGCCGGAATACACCTTGTAGAACTCCTCGTAGTCTTCGTCTCTTCGGATGTCTGCCAGGACAGGAGGGTAGAAAACGATGCGTGACGTCCAAGTCCGCAGGGGGAGAGAGGTTGGGAGTGAGAGGGCGATGGGGTTGATGTATACAGGTCCAGCGCCTGGTTATTCGTTTTTGTTGCATTGTCTTCCTTATAAGGACTAATCATGCTATCCTCTCAAGGGTGAACCTCGTTCGTCACCAATCGTGTATACGTTTTGACCTGTAAACATTGCCAACGTATTCCCACATGTTAGCGCTTTAGACAAAGTGAGGACACTGAAGTGCAGGAAACATCGGACAGTAGGTGTGTTAGTCAGTTGACAGGGAGAGTGTTATTCAGTTGACAGGGACGTAACCGGCAGGGATGTAACCCTCGAAAGATACCTTCGAAAGGTTTGACAGCCACGTCACCCTCGCCGCTACCAGCGAATGCTCCTGTGTCCGGAGCGATGCCATAAACTTTCTGCAAATTTCAAAGATACGCAACAGGATGATCGCAACAGGAAGACGCGTCCTCTGCATGGTCAGGAATCATTCCACAAAGAAAGTGTGAAGCCTTGCAACGACTAGCGCCTACCTGCAGTTCTGCCAACTGAGGAGGAGCAGATGTAGCTCTTGGGAGCTCCTCTAGAATCTGGTTAATATCCGCATCATCCTCTGATTGAGGCTCTCCTGAAACCCCGGTTTGGTCAGTCTGCTCCTTTATCTGCTGTTCTGCTGAATCCAACTCTCCGCTACCTGGCATTATTTTTGCACTACCCTCATCTTTCACGACTTCCATTCCAAGATGTAGGTCGACGGGAGGCTCTATACGAAATCGAACTACACCAGAGGGACTCTTCCGCTGTCGAAAACAACTGGAGTCATGAGCAGGCGATATCTACGAACCAACTCAAATGCGTGGGATGTGGATGGATGATTTGACGGACTTCCAGGACGCTAATCTGTTCTAAACAAATAATGCAGCACTGAATTGATTATGATTTCCCGTTTGACACTTTTGCCTGAGTAGATTCCTCCTCAACCAACCAAACCAACCACAAGTGGGGTTGAGGAGTCATTGTGGGCTGTGGCCTTTCGGCTATGAATGGGGAGGGAGGACAAGGAAGGGGACGGAGTAGACGGCCAGACCACATGTTTGCCCACTCGTGATTCCCTTTGTTACCCGCCACCGTCTAGCCTGCCGTCGAGCCGGTAAAGTTCTGATCCGTCCACATCAGCATCTCCACCTTTGCAGCGCCAGCTTCACCATTTCAAAATTGGCCGTTGGATCTGAATGGTTGGAATCCAAAGGTTGGTGGCTCTCTAGGGTTATTTTAGCTGGACCAGAATGCTTAGGGGGTTGGGTTGTAGATAAATAGACTTATGTGAAAAACCGAATGAAGAAGTAAAGGGAATTTCTCGTTTCAAAATTCGGTGACGCAAATGGTTTTCGCAAAAGTGTTCGTCTGTCGTCGCAATTTGTGATTGGGCGACGGAGGATTGTGGTTGGGCTCGTCTCCAACACCTCCTCCCTCCACAAATCGAGACGCGGGTCCGCAGTGGTTCCATCTTTTCTTCAAGAGCTGTTCAGGGTGAAAACTGCATCTCATACTCTTCCTTTGTTTTTTCTGCCTGGAAGGGTTTGTGTAAGGACGGGATATGTCTGCGCCCCTCTGGCTATCCTCCTTATCGACAAGGATATAGGTTGTAAATTAGGGTGCTTTTGTAACTGTACATCCCTAGTTGGCCGCGCTTGGCTGATCCCCTTTTCAGTAGGACTGGTTGATGGAAGGGGGGGGGACGATGGCGGCCAATCCAAAAACCGTAGAAGATGTTTTTAAGGACTTCAGTGGCCGACGAAAGGGCATGTTAAAAGCTTTGACAACTGGTACGCGCGACGCAGTCCATATTTTCAGCTTTTTTTTTCTCGTCTCGTTCCGAACCTAAAATATGATTCTCGAGGTTAACAACATTTCGTCGTCCTGCGTGTGAGTGCAGATGTGGAAGATTTTTATCGACAGTGTGATCCAGGTTTGTCTGTGGAGACGATTTTTAAAAAATTGACTAAAATAATTTGCTTCAAAATGGCTCGGTAGTTCGACTTTCTTATCGTTTTGTCATTCTTCGCTTCCCCTTTCGCAGAAAAGGAGAATCTATGTTTGTATGGTTACCCCGAGGAGGCTTGGGAGGTCAATCTACCAGCAGAGGAAGTGCCACCGGAACTACCAGAACCCGCTCTTGGAATAAATTTTGCAAGAGATGGAATGCAGAAGAAAGATTGGCTAGCCTTGGTTGCAGTACACAGCGACGCATGGCTCCTCGCAGTAGCTTTTTACTACGGAGCTCGATTCGATAAAAATGAGCGGTACGATGTCGTTTGCTTCGATCAAGATCTACATTTACCTTACAGTCTTCTAAATTTTATTTGAGTTGTGCTCATGCAGGAAGCGTTTGTTTAACCTTATCAATGACTTGCCCACACTATTTGATATAGTAACGGGCAAGAAGCAGGCGGTTGAGAAAGCAGCAGCTAACAACAGCGGGTCGAACAAGGCGAAGAGCTCTGGGAAGGCGGTAAGTTTCATTCATTACAGTGACATGCCCCCTCATTTTGTTGTTCCAGGTTTCGAAGCCTTGTTTGTGGTCTGCTGACGGTTGGCGTTCACATTTTCAGCGGAGTGGTGAGGTGCAGACCAAACAATCAAAGGCGAAACAAGAAACTCCAGAGGAAGAGGAGGATGACGAGGAGGAGCATGGGGAGACGCTTTGTGGCATCTGTGGCGGGCTTTATGGGGCGAACGAGTTCTGGATTGGTTGCGACCATTGTGATAAATGGTGAGATTTTTGTTGTTCGATTCTGTTTCCGCCTTTTGTCTTTTAAATTTGCGCCTTCAACATTATGCTGAAGTGTGTCTTTGCAGGTACCATGGGAAGTGCGTGAAAATCACACCAGCCAAGGCAGAGCACATCAAGGACTACAAATGCCCGTCTTGTGCAAAGAGAGCTAGATGATGATTCGCATCCTGTATTATGTTTTCTAGTTGAGCTTAGTGGTTGCATAGTCCTCTCACTGCACCACCTGATTTGGTGGAATTGAAACATCTGCTGGATGATCAATGGTTGGGGGTGGGGGCTGTGGGGTGGGGTCGACTAGGGTTCTGCTAGGTAGAAATGTATCAAATTTGCATAGCTAGATAACTAACATGAATTTGGAATCGTTTATTCTACTGATCATCTTGCAGAGAATGTTTTCATAAGTTGTACTATTGAGTATGGCACATGAATGCCTCGCTATAGCTGTGTCCCATCCTCTAGTCCCTGTTTTCATGTGCCATTTCTCCCTACTTATGCAACCATAAAAAGCCATACGTTGTGTAGCGTGTTCCCACAGCCTCGTATCAGGCAACCCCGTATCAGATTCGTGTCGTACCGCACTGAAACGCATCCGAACGCAGTGGAACACACTGGAACGTGTTTCACCATGCGAAGCTGATACGAGGTGTTTCTGATACGAGGTGTAGGAACATGCTTAGTACCTAGATGGTCGGACAGGAAAGCAAGAGAGGAAGATGAGGGTGGAGTAGGCAGTGGGGGGGCAGATGGACAAAGAAAAGGAGGGAAAACAGAAGAAAAGGAGCTGGAGCCGGGGGGAGAGGGAGGGAGGGAAGGATGGAGCGCCAAACAGAAGAGGAGGGAGGAAGATGGAAGGGGTGGGAAGAGAAAATGGAGAAAAAATCAAAGCACGAAAGAGGAGGGGATTTGCAGAGTAAAGTGGAGGAGGGAAATGACAGAGGGAAAGGACAGAGGGAGGTGGAAAGGTAGGGGGTCTGGAAAAGCTAAGGGAGAGGTTTGATGGAAGGGTACAGAAAATCCAAGAACGGCAAAGAAAGGGAAGAAGAGGTGTGGGGAAAAAACGGACAAGAGGGCACAGGCACAGAGGTATTGGAAGCAAGCCCTACAAGCCCGGCTTTTATGTCTACCCAATTGCTCCCTGTTTTCTGATTCCATAAGAATACCTCCACTAACAAGCCCCTTCATCACCCTTATCCATCCTTGTCGCCACGCTCAGTGGCAAACCTAAACTCACAGTGCCAGCCCAAGCTTCACAGCTCTCTGCCTGCATTTCTAGGTGGAGCTTGAGGTGTGTCCTCAGCCTTCCTCTCCCCCACTCAAAACAATGAATGATAATTCACTTGGTAACCCCAGCATTTAGATATTTGGGGCTTACAGCCCCAGAAAAAATGCATTACGCATGCATGCATGCTACATAAGATGGCTCAGCGTGAGGGAGGGCACAACTCCAGCGCCTAAGCATGCGCCTAACTCCGCCTGCAAGAGAGACGTGAGCTCTGTTCCTGTGCGACGGTACACCCAACCTTGGCCTGGTAACCAATCAAAGCGTGCTGGACCACTGCAGGGCAGAACATGGGGGAAAACACACAGCTGTAGCCAAGACAGCTCACAAGAAACAACCTGTGACGGTGGTGGCATGGCCTAGTGATTAAGTTGGATAGTACATTATCACTAGAGAAATACCTTTGTGGGGATGAAAGCCAGATCTGCCTGTTTGGGGCTTGCTTGTTGATGACAAAGATTCCGTGTTGTCCAAGACGAAGCGTCAAAACTCCTTGCTGTGTTAAAAAAAACACAAACAATAAATCAGGAAAGTGGTGAGCTTTTTTTCTCAATAGTGAACGCTTTTCTGCATAAAAACGGACCCAGAGATACTGTGAACTTGGCAGTGTTGCCATACAGTAAAATGAAGGCAAAGAGAATAGCATCCTGCTAGTCGAAGTCCTTGTGAGTGGACTCCCATACGTAAATTGGAAGCGGGACACTCACCGAGAGGTCAGCATCGAAACCTTCAATGTCCACCTCATCACCTAGAGCCTGCAAAACCGCCAGACAGCAACGAGCGAAGTTTGGCTAAAACAAGTGTGGGGACTGGGCTGATATAGATCTTCCATTCGCTAATAATTCAAAGCCAGAATCCTTCAGAGCCAACTCCTGAAGATCCTGAAATCACAGATGGAAACGTCTGCATCTAGGTGTCAGAGCTAAGGGATATGAATGTGGGTATCTCGGTGCTTACATCGAATTTCTCATGGAGCCAGTGCAAGGCTTCGTCTGCGAGCCGATGAAATTCATTCTCACTCAGTTCCCCTTCCGTTGTTTCTGCTGCGTCAGACGACGACGGTCCGACCTCTGGCGTTGTCAGTTGTGGAGATAACGCGGACAGCTGTCGAGTCACTATCCATTGTGGTGCTAGTGAAGGCAGCAGCTGTCGGGTCATCACAGTCGGCCATGATGTCATCGAAGCGGATGCTGATGAGAATACATGTGTCTGTAGTCTCGCCTGATTGAAATCATGAATTCCTAATGGTCCTTCGCGCATGAATTCAACCGGATCGACTGCAAGGACGCGTTGCGTATCTCGTAACTGGGCGTCTGTCTCGTTTGAAAAGCGTGCGACGTTATACAGCCTAAGGTTCTCGTCTGTCCAAAGAAACGGTGTTCCAGGCGGGATTCGCGGCAAAGAACCGCACAGCGGCAGGACTAATCTACGCCGTCCGTGCGAGCTAATTGTAGGAATGAACCTACTGGCCATTGTCCCTACATGAATCGCGTGACAGCAACGACCTCCCGATAGAAGGTCTTCTCCTGAGAAACAACTAGCCCAGATAAATCGACGCGAGAATCGCAGAAAGCCGCGAAAAACGGGCCTAAGGTCATTCTTCTACCAGCGAGCCGCCATATGAGTGTTTGCCAGGGCGAAATATGGCAAGGTTCTGGCGTCCAGGAAACAGATGGCATGAATCATGAACGGTTGCTGCGCTCCCTCAGGAAAAGCTTGAAACCAGTTTCCAGAACTTCACTAAGGAGCTGTCCGAAAAAGTTCAGGTTCGGAACTTTTCCAGCTCAGTTACCACTTTTAGTCTGTAACAGAACTTTTTACGTTCCCAAAGGCGCTTGACAGGAACCAGTTCACCTCAAGCCGCAGTTTAGAAACGTGCCCCAAGATGTGCGGATCACATCCGAAGGCACACCGTAAATTCGTCTGGCGTTGAGTTTTGCGTCAAACACGAAAACCAGTAACGCCAGTAACATTTCGTCAAACATTTCGTCCACCCGCCATGCCCCTGAGCTTTGAATTGGCTGCTCGCGAGAGAAAGTCGCGCCAAACCTGTGCGACTTCTTCGGACCCCCCTAAGTCAAGTTTCGATTTCGTCACTGACATATGGAATTCCAATTACAGAACGCAAATGCTCACAAAACTTGACGTAGAGAATTCATGATTCTGGAATACTAACGGGGATTCCGGAAGACATGCCTAGAAGTTTGGGCTCGATCGAGATTCCCACGCCAAGCACACACCCCTTTGGCTGAAAATATCGGGCCTTGGGATTGACGCTCATTCTGAAGCACAGAACCCATGCTGGATGGCTTGTGCGATTCCCACAACGAGGAAATCAGTCTGAATTTGTGATCCAGTTGTTTCTTGTGTGATAGAGCTTTCACATTCTGTTTCCATGGCTTGCATGCCACATCGTTGCCACACGGGATCTGTTCTCGTTCGTCTCAAGCGCACCGCAACTGTCCTTGTCTGGCTCAACCCATGGATGCATGCAGCAGTTCTCATCTCACTCAGAAAGCCCAATTCCACCACCAAGAACCAGGAAGGCGAAACGACACAATGTTCCGCTCTGGTGGTAGCTGTCGAGTGATTGCTGCCAACGGAGTCTTACGGGCACACCCAAATCCTGAACTAAAGCTCGACTTGAGGTCCTCTCTACCGCGTTTGAGAATTCCAACGAGGCTTCTTTCCGACGCATCTCATAGCCTTCGTCCCATTTGACGTTCTGTCGCTAGCACTGTCGAGTTAGACAGCTCCATGGCCCTCCCTCGATCTCAATGTGGACTGATGCATCTTACCAGTGCTTCACGCTTCGCTCAAGGCTGCTGCTCTCAGAGCATTAACCGAAGCGGAGTCTTCACACCTTTTTGGACACGCACCAGCTCATTTCGGCTGCGTCTTCCAAGCGTGAAAGCTGCGAAGCCATGCTCGATATCTCTCAGACGCTTCAGTCATGAGACGTTTTCCCGATGTGAATCGCGACAGGCGCCGTCTGGACTCGTTTGCCGTGCGTCATTGTCTCCTTTGGAGTCTGGTACGTCTGCTTGTGAAGTATAAACTGTTGCAGACGTTTACAAGTTACATTCCTTCACAATTGTGCTGACTTCGTTCTTATCTTTGCGATTCCGATCAGGTACTCAGCAGAGCCTCGTCTCGGCGCCGCTCATCTCGTCCTTCAACGAAAACGTCCGTCCGATGCTTGATGCCATTGATAGGCTTCGGATTCTGGGCCTGAAGGAGGAGGGGATCGAGCTTCCGACTATCGTTGTCGTCGGTGACCAATCCAGCGGCAAGTCATCCGTCCTGGAGAACCTGTCGGGAATCAGCTTACCCAGAGGGAATGGAATTGTTACGCGAGTGCCGCTGATCCTGAGGCTCCAATCGTGCACAAGCAAAGATGGGGAGATCACAATAGAGTACAACAATCCAAGTTCCGGAAAGATCTTCAAAATCCTCCCTGATGAAGAGAGCATTCAAGAGGAGATCTCTAAGGCGACTGTGACCTTAGCTGGTAGCAGAAAAGGTGTTATGGATCGTCCAATCACTCTGCAAGTGAAGAGATCGGGACTGCCTGACTTGACGCTGGTGGATCTGCCTGGGATCACGCGAGTTCCTGTGGACGATCAGCCGAAGGACATCTACAATCAGGTCAAAAAAATGATCATGCAGTATATCACTCCAGAGGAGAGCGTCATTCTCAACGTCCTTGCAGCTGAAGTTGACTTCTCCACGTGCGAATCCATTGTAATGTCTCAAGAGGTTGACCAAGATGGAGACCGTACCTTGGCTGTCGTCACCAAGGTTGACAGGGCTCCTGATGGCCTCTATGAGAAAATTCAAGGCAACTCAGTGCGGATTGGATTGGGCTACGTCTGTGTCCGGAACAAGACTGACGCTGATGCTTCTCATGCTGCTGCTCGACTTGCAGAAACGGATTTCTTTGATCGCCATCCAGAATTGAGCAGAATTGAGACCGATTCTCGAGGGATCCCAGCTCTTGCGCAGCGGCTGTCAGAGATTCAAGCCAAGCGCGTAGCAGAGAGCATTCCACGGATCAGGCAGTCCATCCAGAAGACACTGATTGCCACAGAAGAAGAATTGCAGAAAATTCCCTTGGCTGCCAATTCGGATGGTGCTGCACTGGCGATGATCTCTTCCACAATTCAAAGGAGGCGAGACTTTATGACAGGCCTCATTGGTGGAAGATATGGCCAACTTCAGGGTGACATCTCCATGCACTATGCTGCAAGGCTGAATGAGAAATTCAACGAGTACGAGGCTCTTATGCGGAAAATTCTTCCCGACTTTCTTGGGAAGAAATACACGGAGAGATGCAGAGATGCCCTGAAAGAGGTGGCTGGAGTTTCGCTTCCAAATATGCTGGATCAAGCTGTGCTGAGTCAACTGGTGCAAGAGTTGATCGACAGCATTGAAGGGCCATCGTTGATGCTGGTGGAGGACTGCTTTTCCTATGCAGCAGACGTTCAGAAGGCCGTGATAACGAAGACCTGTTCAGGGTATCCTAACCTGGAAAATGCTGCTCAACTGCAAGCACTCATGGCCTTGAAGAAGGCCAAGGATTCATCAATCGAAATGACGAAGAACCTTCTGTTGAAGGAAAGAAGGGTGATTTTCACGCTGAATCACTACTACATGGATACCGTTTCAAAAATACATCAGTCAATTGCTAAGTACAAAGCAGACCGTTATGGCAACACCCCCAGCATTGATGGTTTCAGCTCCAACACTGCTTCATTAGCTGACTTGATCAGCAATGATGATCAGGCGGCAAGGGATCTGCAGATCAACGTGTTCTCCTATGCTAAGGTGGTGCACAAGCGGCTGTGCGATGTGATCCCAATGGAAATCCGGATGTCTCTGGAGGATGCTCTTGTGGATGATACCGATGCTGCAATTTGGGGGTGATTCAGACTGGCAGTGCTTCCAAGCTCGCAGCTCTGAAGGTGGCTGACCAGCAGCGGCGGGTTCAGCTGGAAGAGAGCGTCATGAGGCTCAGGGCACGTGAAGCTACTTTGCTGGGTATAGCATTTGACTCCCATGTGTAGCTCGAATGGTGTTGTGTTTTGCACACATCCTATGCAGTGTGGGTCTGTTGATAATTGATGTGTCTCTTTCCCCCTTTCCACTGCCAAGGTTTCCCTTGCCTTCTGAGTATCAACCATCACTGGGAGGGTTATCAGTTACATCAATCCCAGTTTTTCTCTGATGACATGATGTTGACCACATAAGAGAATCTGCAGTACAGGACCTACATGTGCATGAACTCCTACAGCATGCACACAGACCAGTTATTCCCCAAACTCTAAACTGCAGCTATCCTTCTCCACCTCTGGCCAGGCTTATAACGATCCTATCTACTCCAATAGTTTCTTAAAAATAACCCTACAGCATCTCCACTGCTAGCTAACTAACAAACCCTACAAACCGCAACCCACTGGACCCCCTTGAAACTCACCCCCCCCGTTCCGTACCACTCCTCTCTTAGCATCCATTGACGACCAAAAGCCCAACCTGCTTCCCGCTTCCACCAAACCCCTACACCGTGAGCCCGACAGAAAGGCAACGCAGGTGCTGAATCCTAGTGCTTGCCCCTCTTGCACCACCACCCTCACAATGTGAGTTCAGCAGGGAGGCAAGGCAGGCGCTGAATCCTGGCACCCAGCCCTCGCAGCTTGCTATCCAGGCGCTCATACCCCCTGTCAATATGCGCCACACCCTCTATGTGCGTGCGGCCCTCCGCTGCCATCCCCGCCAGCACCAGCGCTGCTCCCGCCCGCAAATCAGTGGCTGCCACGGGGGCGCCGTACAGCTGGCTGCCCTGGTCCCTGCCGCTGATGATGGCCGTGCTGCCCGTGATCTTGATCTTGGCTCCCATCTTCTGTAGCTCCTCCACTGCTTGATCAAAGCGTGACATCATGACATGCCATGGCGCACAGCACACACATGGCAAGCCACCATCCGACATGTAATGACGCCCATTCAGGGCATGGATTAACGCACGCAAACCCACCCAACACATGCAAGAAACAAACACCATGCCATGCGGACACACAAGAATCTACCAGTTAGCTTATGGAGACAGGGCATAAGAAACTTTACTAGCAGCAGTAACACGAATGACAGGAAACAAGCACAAAGCATCCACAAACACATGCACACCCGAAACCCACAGCAGCCCTGTAGCACACAACAACGCACCACAGTGCAGATCGCCTCACTCACCGTGTCTCATCCGCGACTCAAACACCGTCTCCCGGATGACGCTCTGCCCGCTGGCAGTGGTGAGCGCGGCCATGAGCTGCGGCTGCATGTCCGTTGGGAAGCCCGGGTACGGCAGCGTCGTCACGTCCGTTGCTCTCAGCGGCCATATGCCTGGCGAGATCTGCTTGCGGAAAGGAGGCGTGGGAGAGAGAGAGAGAGAGGGGAAGAAAGACAAAGGGCACTAGAGAGTGAACAGCTTGACCGGCTTAACTGCACTGGTAGTTCTTACACTCCCCACACCTGCCCCTTTTGCACGAAAATGCAACACTTTCAGATTCCTCGAACCTGCCTTGCACACCAAGGTGAGCAGCATGTGGGGACTGGCCTTGATGGGAGAGAGGTCGTAGAAGAAGACTCCAGGCAGCGATTGCTGACGCCCTGCAGAACATACCTTGAGAGTGCCGATCTTGGTCTGCTGCACGCGGCACCCCATGGCTCGGAGCTTGCTGATCACGGCCGTCAGATGCCGCGGGATCACCGGCGACAGCGACACCACCGACCGCGTGATGGCCGCAGCTGCCAGGAAGGTTCCCGCCTCGATGCGGTCAGGAATGATGGTGAACTCGGTGGGGCCCAGCCTGGGCACGCCCTTGATCACAATCGTGTTGGTGCCGGCTCCTCTGATCTGTGCCCCGCACGAGATGAGAAAATCCGCCAGATCCACCACTTCCGGTTCCTGATGGGACACGGCGAGCGGAAGGGAAGAGAGAAGGGGGGGTGTGGAAATTAGGGGCTGAGGAAACCCGCCAGGTCCACCCACATGGGGTTCCTGGTGGAAGGCAGGAGGAAAGAGTTGATGCGGTCAGGGATGATGGTGATCTCGGTGGCGCTCGCTGGCGTCCGCCCGCCTACGTTTCCCTCCTCCCCCTCCCCCCCCCTCCCCCCCCCCCCCCCCCCCCCCCCTCTTGCCCCACCCCTTCCCCTGGCGCTCACCTGGGCGACGTTAGAGAGCGTGGTTTCGCCATCGGCGAGCGACGCGGCCATCATGAGCGTCTCCGTGGCGCCCACCGAGGGGAAGTCCAGGTAGAAGCTCCCGCCCTTGAGCCGCCCGCCGTCCAACGTCTGCACGTGCACGCGCCCCTGCCTGCGCGCATGCGATGGAGGGGGGAAAGAGATGGGGAGAGCGGCGGAGAGAGAGGGTAGAGGAGGGGTACAGAGGGGAGGATAGGGGGAGGGGATGAGGATTGCGGGGACCACATGGCAGAGAGGAGAAGAGTGAGGGAGATGAGGTGAGAGGTTGCGGTGAGACGATTTTGAGTGGGGCGGGGAGATCGGGGGTTGACGAGGGAGACAACTTCGATGTGATAGAAATGCGACATTGCCCAAAAAAACTGAGACGACTCATAAAAAAGGTTCTTGGATCGCTACGTTTGCCACAACCAACGCGAAGACTGGCGTAGGTTTAGGGCACGCATAATGAACACGCATAATAAGCGCGACTAATAACGCCTAACGAACAGCACCGCAATGCCTAGTGTCACCGGTACATTTAATGTGACTCAATGCGCGCACCTGATATCGACCTTGGCGCCCAGCGCCTCGAGGCCGCGCACGTGGAGGTCGATGGGGCGCGCGCCGATGTTGCAGCCGCCGGGGAGCGGAACCACCGCCTCCCCCTGCCTCCCCACGAGCGCGCCGATCACGAAGAAGCTGGCGCGAAGCTTCCGCACCACGTCGGGGCAGGGCTCCACGGACGACAGACAGGACGCGTCGACGAGCACGGATGAATCCTGGCCGTCCACTCCTCGCTGTATTTTCACGCCGACGGATTGGAGAACCTGATGACCGACGCAGCGGATTAAAACGCACGCGGACGGGGGGAGTGAACACAAAAAAGGGTATAAGACGAGGATTAAGTAGGGAAACATGACGTTTAGTATCGGCAGGGGTAACATGACAGTGCGGTGACACCGCAGTAACAGTATGGGCGTACTGATATGGCAGCAGACATGGGAGTAATGGCATGCCAGTGATGACATAGCAGTAATGGCACAGCATTAATGCCAATAATGAGAATAATGGCATGGCCCCAATGCCATGGAAATGCCATTCTCGACACAATGAAGTTATTATTTTCTCCTGAAATGACAAGGCTAGATGCTCCAAGGAAGGAATGGGAAGCAGGGAGGGACGGATGTCGTCGGGCCGAACCTGGAACATGCGCCTGATGTCATGAAGGTCCGGGACCCGACGCAAAACGAGAGGTTCGGAGGAGCAGATAGCCCCCGCGAGAACGGCAAGAGCGGAGTTCTTCGCACCACTGATCGACACGTGTCCCTCCAGACCCTCGCACCGCTCCACCTCAAAGCATTCCACCATCAACGGGCTCGGTGCCGAGCCTGTTGCCGAACGTAACTCCGAACCGGCTGCCGAGCCTAAGGTTGGAATACATAGTGGGGACAAATTGCTGGAGGAGGAATTGCTACTGCTGTTGCCGCCAATAGCGGAGAGGGAGTCTAATGAATTAAAGCAATAAGGTAATGTGCTACAGCTACTGTCAGTGTTAGGAGCAACGGTCTGAACGGTCTGAGCCAGGCACGCGTGGGACGAAAAGAAGCCGTCAGACGATCCCGTTAAGAAAGGCTGCTGATCCAACGACGTTCGCCATTTGCGATTAGACTTGACCGTTGACGTCAGACTGCAGGAGCCGGATATTCTCGTGGAGCCCGATTGGCTCCATTGATCGGGTACGGACGGTGAAAGAGCAGCGGTCGACGGCTTGCGCCATGAGTCTGGATTAACAGCAGATGCTAATGAAGCCTGATTGGACAGCTTGGACGTGAGTGATGCGGTTGCTTCCCACCCCATGATTATCCTTTTAGGTAAAGCCTAAGAAGCGTTCCAGTCGGTCCACACACGTGCAGAAACGAAATGCGAACGGAGGATGCGGAAGGGACGGATATTAGAGATGGCGTTGCTCGAAAACGCTGGGAGGGAAAAGGGTTGCTCCCAGCTACCGAAAACTAGGGTTACCGCATGCTGGTCAGTCAGCAGTGGGATATGATGATATTCGAAGTGAAAACACAACTAACCCAAGGAAATACGAGTTGATCAGTCAACGAAATAGTGGGCGAACCCTATTTAGCCTTTAGGCTAATCGGTAAACCAGGCCGTTGAGCAGTGAAAGGCCGTAAAAACGGCTATGGTGGGCTTTGAATGGGCCAGCACAGCAAAAGTTAGGGCGTCCAGTCCGGTAAAAAACGGCGTTTATCTCGTGCGTAATCCGTGACTAGCAGAAGCGCTGTGAGTCAAAACGGGAGCCAACCACCGTCAGCCATAGCCATGGAGCAAATACATCAAGCAGGTAGTGAACCTAGGCAGCAGATGGTCTTCATTGTCACTGTAGCCCAACGGTTGAAACTGGGAGCTTATTGTCACAATTGTGAACCATTCAAAATGAAGCATATTAAATACTAGAAAATTTTCCAGAATAATGTGACAATATGGAGTAAAAACAACTTGGAACATGTGGACTTTGGATGTCCACATCTGGCGCAATTCTTCCTGCATTCACGGAAAACTCCAGCTCCTCTTCGACCCATCAACCAGAACAGTGCAATATGGCTCTGTGTGATGCACGTACTCGTTACCATATGGTAACTCAAACTCGCGATCGGTGGTCTTTTGCGTTTGGCCGTGGAGAA